ATGACGATCACTTGGATGGATGGATTAGATAGCTCCCAATTTTTATGATTTGGTTGAGCAATCTAGGATAGGGAATACATACACAAACCAAAAGTTTAGCATAGCAATAATCAATCAATATCACAATATCAAAACATACAAAGCAATTCTTCTTCTTCTTTTGAAAAAATGATAATTCTTGCATTTGATCAATTGTGAATATTCATATGCATGAATGAATGAGTGAATGCCTTGCAAATGACTCATTCCTTCCTTCCATACAAAACAACACAACACAACACAACACATCACATCACCTAAACCCCCCCAAAAACACAGCCTTAATTTTTAAATTTTCATCTTACGTCCCGCAGATGGATTGGATTGGATTGGGTTGGATTGGATTGGATTGGAGTGTTGTCACAGCGATTGTTTTGTTGTCAACTCGGTAGGTACGAAGTAGGTACTGTATATGCAGGCATGAATCATCAGGTTGGTTCTGTTATGTCAGGTTATGTCAGGTCAGGGCAGGACAGGGCAGGTCAAGGCAAAGTTAAGTTAAGTTAAGTTGCGTTACGTTTCTCTCTTGTCTGATTCGTGGTTTGCTCGGTTATTTTTATTTTTTAATTTTTTTGGCATGTTTATTTTGCTAGGGATGGATGGGGATGGGGATGGGAATGGGAATGGGAATGGGAATGGAAAAATGGGTCACTTGGGCGGAGTGAGGATGTTGTGGCTGTCTCTCTGTCTGTCTGTCTGCCTGTCGGTCCGGGACGGAAACGGGAGTTGAGGGTTCCGTGGATGTGATGAGGGATTCGTCATGGAGAGAGATAGTGTGGGATGAGGATAAGGATGGAGATGGAGATGGAGATGGAAATGGAGAATTCGGGAGGATGAAGCGTGGTGTGTACGTATGTATGTGCGTATGTGTATGTGTGTATATGTGTATGTATCTTTTTCCGACGTGAAGAGAGAAAATATTGATGAGGACGTGGTGTATTGTCTGTTGTTTGGTGTTTGGTGGTTGGTGTTTGTGGTGGTTGGGCAAGATGGCGATGGGGCTCGTGACCTCGATAGATGGATGGCTAAATGGGATGGGATGGATGGGATGGATGTAAACTACTGTGTCGATCTGTGAAGTATTACTACTGTATGTGTATGTGTATGTGTATGTGTCGTCTTGGGAGAAGAGATGGGAATTATTGTGAAATTTGATATTGGAATTTGTGAATTTGTGAATTTGATTGCTGGGTAACTATAACTAGGTTTTGTGATTGATGTGATATGATGATATGGAATACAAAACTCATTCCAAATCGATTCAGGAAAGAGGGGCCATTGATTTCAATTCTATTTCTATTTCTGTTTCTCAGAAAACTCCGATGGATTTCCAAGGTCATTTTCTCTCTCTTGAGATCCAAAGACAGAGACGGAGAATAATGGTAAAAGAATGTCTATCTCAATCTCGAATCTCGAATCTAGAATACTCTTTGGAGCCTAAAGGGAGATCGATATGCTAGATTAGATTGATTACCTAGCTAGTAATGTTTTCTTTTGCAAATGCAAATGCAAATACAACTTCCTTCTGGCTGGAAGGCGACTTTTCAAGTTTTCTTGGGACGAGAGAGCGATGGCATCATCGTTTTGGGGATTGGGTATTTGGGTATTCATCATCATTCATCATGATTTATCATTAACTATCCTATTATTAGTCAACCATGAACAATGAACAATGACCGGAGGCTTTTCCAAAACTCTAGAACGGGTGTGGAGTTCTAGATGTGATGGTTAGACTTTAGGGACGGATGCTTGATTAGTGTTTTGGTAAGACATTGAGAGTATCTATTGGTATTATTGGTATTATTGGTATTATTGGTATTATTGGTATTATTTTTATCATTTTTATTATTGGTATTATTGTGATACTGATTAATCAAAATATCAAAATATCAAAATATCAAAATATCAAAATATCAAAATATCAAAATATCAAAACCAACGCATCTAGATTATTCCCATTCCATGCGATTCATGATCAAGACCCGACTCGACCGGAGTCTTTTATCTTTCGGAATCGTACATTTCATCAACGACCCAGGTAGGATAGAAGACATGGTAGATTTAGTCAGCCCTCCTCTCCTCTCCGCAATTCGCAATCCGCAATCCTCGTCTCGCATTCGGATCATCAGGAACAATGTAATATCACACAACACAATATAATACAATCTAATCTAGCACGATAGACGGATAAGCCAACAAATAGATTTCCCGGTACGGTACTATACGGTACATACGAGAGGCACGGTACTACGAGGCACATCTACCCCAGCCTGCGAATCCGGAGTCGTGTGCGCTCTTCCCGCGGATAATCAATTCCTCGAATTTGACAAGATTTGCTTCCACCTACGAAGTTCGGGTACGAGTACGAGGGTGTTCCTATTGGGACGAGACTCACTTGTTCTGGACAATTTGCATTTGGATGAATGGGGGAGGGGAGAGGAGGGGAATCATGGGATCTGTTGAATTGAGATGAGATGTACATAGGTGAGAGGCGGGGCGATTTGCGATTTGCGATGGGTGATGAATGGATTGTGATGGATTTACTTTTGCATGTCTGGAATTGTGTGTGAGGGGTTGGGAGATGGAGATGGAGATGTAGATGGAGATGGAGATGGAGGTGTAGATGCATTTTGGGTATTGTTCTAGAAAGTACTATAGGTATCTAGGTAGAGATTATTATTTAATTTAATTCAATTTAATCATTTATTTATTTCTTTCTATTTTATTGAGAGGTACATTGTAAGTTTAGAACGCCTCGAACATCATCACATCATCACATGATCCGGATAACCACATCAGGTATATCCCATTCGAGCTACTAGATGCCTAAGACACACTGGACGAAAAACTCACATTGCACCTTATTCGAAAAACACGTTGAGCAAACATCTACATATGCGCACACAAGCAAAAATGGTAATCGGTCAAGCTTGATGTTAACAAATCACGTCTGGTGCTGTGCTTGGTGCATGATCGATGGAATCAGATAAATTGCAGAGTACATGTGTTGGCCAACACGTGCATGCGCATTACATAGTAGTACTTACAGGATGTAATGTACCGTAATCCAGACAACTAAGATTCCTCTCCAAGTACCGGTGAACGGGAGACGGGAGGACATTTGCTAGTCAACAGTAGGTTCAAACACACCGTATATTCAACGTACCTATATCGTCTGAATGTCGCCTATATGTTCGTTTTCATGTGGGTAAATGGGGTGGGCGTAGGTACATATGGGTGGGCACAAATCGATGTTCGGCGATACGGTGAGAGGGGGCATGGAGTGGGAGGGGTTGGTTGGTTGGCATGCGCGGAAAGTGCGTGCGTGAAGTTTACAGGTGTGTAGGTGGGGTGAAGTTGATGGGAGGGTCGTGATGGATGGGGATGGGCGTGTGGCTTGTAGTCGGTGAGGAATGGGGGGTTGCAATCAAGGTTTTATTGGCTTTGGGGCATACGCACACACACACACACACACATACACACCGCACGGTGAAGAAGGCGGATGGTGGTTGGGGACTTGAGCAGTTTGTGCTGAAGGAGCGAGTGGGTATTTTCAATTGAATTGGGACTTCTTCATGTGTCTGTGGGGGTGAGTGAGTGCAAAGCAGGAGGGTAAAAGCTTTGTTCGTGTGTTGTTTGAATTTGGTGTGGTGGTGATCTACATTTTGCGGTGCGTGCTCACTGCTGATACCTACCTGCCTCCGTCCAAGTATCAGAAGTTGGCTGGTGTGAATGTAATTAATAAATTTGGCAAGTGATTTGCTTCTTTGCTTTTGTGGAGAGAAGTGCACTGGACTCGCCATGGCTTAGCGGTTTGTTGTGTGGATAATATAATATGAATGTGAATCCTCCAAAGTGCTGAGTGGAGCGTCAGATATCATGTGATGATCATTCATTGAAATAATGATCCCCCACTCAGACAACCGGACGACGCACATCAAAATCTCCCATGTCTCACACAAATAAAATGAATCCCATCGGGAATTAAGGAAATCTTTTCTCCCGATCGGATGCCGGAAAAAGAAATCTGTTTTCCGATCACATGCTCACTCTCTACATTCTCCTCCCCACCCCCCGATGGCGACCGGTAGGACATCCATCCATCTCCATCGTAAAAGCATCTCGCTGACAAGCGTACCTGACACACCAACCCACCTGCGCCCTAGTGCCATTGCATAATCTACTTATCTTACCGATCATGAAGATGCATCAATCAGCACGCCGGAATTCCATAAGGCTGAACTCACCTCGGCGAGGAAACATGTGAGATTCCGCTTACGGTATCCGGACATTTATCGTTTCTTTCGCAGGGGAGATTCATAATTTTGACGTGCTGATATTGTTGGGAAGCGACGGCACGATATGTTCCGATGGGAAAGAGATGAAATGATCATGTGAAATACTGGCATCCGGCATCGTCGGGAGCTGACATTGGGACGAGTTGTTCTTCACACAAACTCTTCGGAAATGAAGGAACGAATTTAAGTATACATATCTCGGAATTGATGTTCCTTCCGTTGTCCGCTCCATCCGAAAAAGAGTCTAGACATTTATGATCGAAATACACCCAAATAAGCTAGTGTCATATCACCCACGCGTTTGAGAATAATCCCCGCTCCCACGCAATCCAGACGGTTGGCGAAGCATTTGTCGAGATGTGGAGTATCTGAACCAGCTCTGCGGGTTGGTCGGTGGCTTGTGTCAGACGAAAGAGTAAAGGTAGGCATATGATACCAAGAACTTGGGATCCAGGTATGTGTCCTCGCGTCTTGCACCTCCGACATTTCGGTCGTGCCGGGTGAGTTGCAGTAGAATCGTTCGATGTGGCTGTGGCTGTGTGTTTGTGTGTAGCTTGATAAAGCTCAGTTAGGATGGAACGTTCTTGTGATGCTTATATTTGGTGGATGTTACGTTGATTTGGAGATTACTTTGATGTGATACTAAGGCATGATGTATGTTGCTTAGCATGCACCAAGGAAGTCCTTGATGGAGCTAGTGTAGAGATTTATTCGAGGAATTTCGGCAGTGATGTTGTCCATATATGCATGCGTAGACTGTTCATTGTCTAGTGCTAGTGTCATGTAGTACAGACACCTTCTGAGGTGCCAATACCCTAAAGAACAGGATCGTCAGGAAAGTAGATCTTGCAAGCGCGTTCTCAACCGACAAAGATACTTCGAGTAAGACTCATAGTTTCTTCCATCCAATATCTCTCTATATCCTGCTCCATCATCACAGATTCAATCCCGAAGATCCCGATCCCGTGATACAGGACAGAATCCTATGTTGCATGTCTTTCTCCACAGGGCTGAAATAGACTTCGTACCACGACTTTTAGTGTTCAAGCCACCAACGTTAAATATCAAGGTGCAAAAATCTGTACTGGTAAACTATCCTTCTTTGACAATGGCATAAAGCTCCCCTGTGTTCTGTCTCTGGACAAGGTTCAGAATCTCGGAGTGGCTACAATGTGAAGAGTCATACCTACGGTCTTTTACCAATATCAATATAGCTATATCGTGCACCTAACAGCCAAATAAAAAAAATATATATATACAAAACTAAAAGTCGCGATGATAGGGTAACTAATCCCCTAAACCCCTTTGTACCAAATGATGTCATTACAACTCCCCCTTCTTTTGTTGCATCAAAGTTTTGTTGCACGTCTCAATAATTGTCATTGTTTGTAAAGTATGGTCGTTGTGGTTGCATTGTGATTGCTATTGTCGTTACTCCTTATCGCTGATTTCATTACTCTTGTTGCTGATCCTAGCTACTGTGATCATGCTTGAGATTTCGACATTTTTATTATCATGCTAGCTAGTTGGGGAGAAGGCCCTGAAAGGGAATTTGTTGAGTTAGGTGCAGATAGATGAACGATTGAAGATGGAAGATGGAAGATGGAAGATGGAAGATGGAAGATGGAAGATGGAAGATGGAAGATGGAAGATGGAAGATGGAAGATGGAAGATGGAAGATGGAAGATGGAAGATGGAAGATGGAAGATGGAAGATGGAAGATGGAAGATGGAAGATTTTATACACAAGTCGGAATATGCTCTTTTTGCATGAATGAGTGTACTACTGCTGCAGCGAGTTGTCCTGGGCGTGCGCTCGAACTTTATTTAGTAATTTTCATTGGGTGATGAATGTAAGTAGGTAGTCTTTTATCACATACAGTGTTAGTGCAATGAAAGTCATGGGTGTGGATCTCTCGAGATTTGTTTCAGGAGGTTGATAGTTGTTGGTTGTTGGTATTATGGGCAGTCTGGGGTTACAGCTCTGGGGTGGAGAGACTTGAGTGTGAGAAGAGATGGATATGGTGTCCGGCGTTTGAGGGTGAAGGGTGGAAAATACAGGAGGAGGGTTGATGGTGGAGAGGAGTGAATGAGAGGAGTGAATCAAAAAAGCGAACAATAGCAGTAGTTTAGCCACTACACTAACTCAAATTAACTACAAAATTCACAATAAACGATCACTAGCACAAAAGCAAAGATACATTGCTCTTTTACTTGCTTTCTGTCAATGGGTATGTATGCTGTTGGCAAATGACATGAAGTACAAATAGAATCAGGGAAAATCCTACTCGTCTGAAATGTGTTTTTATCATTTGCATCAAGGGGGAAGATACATCGGAAGTGACACAAAGTGGTTGAGTTGAAGAGGGAGAAGACGACAGAAACGGAGTCAAACAAATTTGACTCGTGGATTAGACTATATCCTGCAAAAATTCTTAGCGAATCAAGTCTAGATTCATAGTCATGGCTTTCTTCGGCACTAGAAGGCATTTCGCAATCTTGATCATCGAGTATGGAATTGCCATTTCCGCCATCCACACCCGGTCCTTGTGCAAATCACAATGTGTCGCCCATCCACTGTGCCATTTCCACCTCGGTATTTGTGAATATTCTACACTTGTGCTTATTCATTATCCCCTCCATTTTCTTCATCCACGCTCACTCCCTAATTTTCTGTACAACAGCATCTCCACTCCCCTTAACATGAACAGACGGATCACTCTCATTTCCTTTCTTAACTCGATCATTAAAAGGAGTTTCTAGCTTTTCCCAAATACCGGAAGCCTCCAAAGGACTTCTAGTTCTGTAGTATGTTTTATCTGGAACATTTAGTGGAGCTTCGATCTTTTGTCCAAAGGCAAATCTTTTGAAGCCCCTTCTGACTACTTCCTCGGTATCGTTCTCCTTCATTCTCTTTGCAACCATCTCTCTTGCCATTTTAAGTCGCGCTTCTGCTTTTGCGGCTTCTTCTTTGTCGGCCGCGATAGCTTTTGCTGATTCCCTAGATCTCTCCTTGACAATGTTGCTGTACTTAGCATGCACAGGAGTCATACCTTTTGGTGCATTTTTTATGATCCAACCATTGTCTAAATCAATGTTCGTGTCAAAGCCTAGCTCAACACACTTCAACATGATAGGACGTATATTCGGCTGTCTGACCACTGCCCATAATAAGTTGTCCAAGAGAATTCGACGAGTCAATGTTTCGTCGACAGACTGGATCACTGCACAAGCTTCGTCGAATAACAGTCTGGCTTCTGTAACCCGCTCCTCAGTTGAAAAGATCTCGCCCATCATGCAATTGAACGCAACGGTGAGAGGATAAATGACAGCCCGCGCAACTAGCTTCTTGAGTTTATATCTCTCTAATCCACGTCTATCGATCCTTTCTGCGCCAAATAGGGGGGCATCCATTACCCTGTTAACCAGGCAATCCACTTCCTGCTCCCTCTTTTCCACTTCGCCTGGAGTCATACCATCATCATAGGTTCGTGCGAGTGGACCTAGAAGGAGTTTGCCTCTAACTATCGGGATGGAACGGAGCGAGTCCCAAATTCCTGTAATCGAAGTTTCTCCCACTGCAAGGTCGAGGAGTCAGTATCGCGTATCAAGGACAGAATTCGGAGGAAAATGGGCATTGAAGCTGTCGGAGAAAGTAAAGAGTATATAGGATAAAACATAAAGTGAAGAGAAAATCGGGTAACAGAATTTGGTGATGAAAATAAAGATAGAAAGAATATTAGACCGCTCATACTTACTGTGCGTGGCATTTATGCACTCAACGAAATTTGGTCGTTTTGAGATATCTGGAAACACTTGGTCGTATAGATCTTGAACCAGACCAGGGTTGTTTCCTACTATCACCACCACAGAAGAGGGATGAAGTCTGTGTTTGATGTTCTTGAAAAATTTAATTAGATCTCTTGGTCGTTCGCCGTAGATCAAATAATCAATAGGGTCAGTATTGATTTTGGCCATGTGAGTTATAGGCACAACTTTGAGGTCCGATTCTTTTGGCGCTGCTCGAATCTCTACTATATCTTCCCTTTCCACAGGCTTTCCCTTTCCTTGTTCACAAAATGTTGCGTTCAGTTCAATAAAATAAGATAAATCGCAGACCTTCATATCCGAGATTGGCAACCGCGCCGCTTTGTGTGCTTTTTTCTTCAGGTCAAGAGTATGAGGAGCATTTTCAAGTAGCGAGGAGACGTCATCAACTAAGTGATCATCTTCATTCGGAGCAGTATCCATCAATAAACGTTTGTACCTTAAGTTCTTAGCAGGGGGGAATGTTTCACTAGGAACAGAGTATTCCATTGAGAAAGGGAGAACTTCCATATCGACAGCTCCTACCATGGTAGTAGCAATACCGTCTTTGATCATTTGAATCTTGCCGTCGGTATCCACATATTGCCGAATATAATCGTTGTTTGGTACCATCAAGGTTACTGGATTCCTGAGTGGATTTTTTGCAGACTGAACGATACCATTGGCAATTAATGTTTGTAAACGATGTGCACCAGCAACATGTATAGGTTTTCCTCTTGGAATTGTAGAAACATCTCGTGACTGCTGGTGGTATAATAGATTTCTGGTTTGTTGAAAGTGGACAGTTGAAGCTAAAGGTTTTGGCAGCGGTCCAACCCTCCAGAGGCTTTTGGTAATAAGGGACATGATGTATGTACCCAATTGGAGGTAAAGCCGTTACCTGTGGAGGTTTTGAATCTTATTAGATCTTTGGATCTTTAAATCTTTCATTGACCAAATTGATATCTTTAACTCTGTTATTTTGTGTTCCTATGTTCACCCCCTGTCACTATCACTGACATATATCCTTAGGCATTGCTGCATAAATAGCACGTGATGGGGTTGAATCTACACAGGGGGTTTCCTTAATTTCTTAAGGACTTGGATCTTCTCATTGAGTTTCTCTTATTGGAATTTCCTGGACCTTCCGTGCTTCAGAATGGACGTTATTATATTCTAGAGCTGTGTGTTGAGCTAAATGTTAGGATTTATTGGTACTAGAAGCTAGGTACGCACGCACACACGAGCGTGCTTAAAAGTTAAAACATTGCGGGGAAACGCTAATCTAGCATTCATGAATCTACTCCGTGATCAGGGACACTCGGAAGATATGAAGTAACTTGTCAAGTGGCCGTCGTCATTGAAAGGGAAAACTTTCTTTGATATTGAGAGAAAAGGGTATGAGTGATTAGCAAACACTTGAGACTGGAGAAATGCCCAGGCAGGATTACCTAACCGAAAGGGCGTACACGGCTAATCCTTCTCTATATATGAGATTACCCATGCAGGCTACTCTGTCTATTTACCCTTCTCAGATTCCGATATTGAAGCGCTTAAAGCTTGGTTGGAAACGATTGAACACATTCCGATCCCCTGTCGATTATTCAGTCTTTGCTCAGCTTTCGCAATTCCACACATGCAAGGAACTCGGGTAGCTTAAGGTTGGGGTCGGAATGGGGAAACATAACCTGGTTATTGTCCATGACAATTCTTCCACCCACGCCACCATTTCGGACTGCTGTTACCCACCATCTTGACGGGACCGAACACAATACAGACATTCATTTTACTGTTATGTAGGTAGTACTGCGTACAAGTTTACGAGGCGGATGGATGACCACATAAGCATGGATAATTGAACGATGGTAGGCTATGGGCAAGGCAGTGATTTGATTACCATACACCAACAGTTGGTTTCTGCATATCCGGACGTTCATCACCAACAATTGGTTATATACCTATCTTTCATTCATCATCGACCATTTTGCCTATTCGCGTTTCAAGGTTTTTATCCAATTAGCAATAATCTAACAACGGTTCCGAATCAAAGCCTCAAGCATTATTCGGAGCATAGATAGATAAGCTTTAGTTCTTGGACATCTACAAGACGCATGATGAACACCCCCGTTTATTGTTACACAGGTGATAGAGTGTGGGAGTACAAAGCTAATGGTTCATCCGTTTATCCTTGTTAGAAAACTCCTGCAGGACATAAACAAATTACTTTATTGGGTTGCCACAGACATATCTAGGTAAGTTTGCCCCTCATCATCCAAGGAGACGAGTTGGAGCATATTTTGAGCACCGGCGGCACGGTACCTTGTACTTTCTCTCTCATAAATGGCCAGTCGTATGGATGAGAGGTAACACAGAAAGCTCAAATCTCGATTGATTTCTGTGAAGAATCACGGATTCTCTTACAAAGCGACTATTCTCGCGCTCGACAAACCCACAGGACTTGTTCGGATCATTTTGATAATATCTCTATCTTTCAAGGTGCTGCAGTCTTTACAATATGTTCGTTTCATGAATGTCTGATCAGCGGAGCCTTTCATGATAAGTTTTACATCTTTACGTTACCGAGTCTGGTTGACTTGTGCGACAAACACGCAAGCTCTATAGTACTAGAAAATCTAACGCAAGGCTCAAAATTGGAACTTATCCTACTGATGATTTCGAAACTTTACTTGACAGCTTCATAATCGTCACCCATGGCCATCATATCTCCGACCATGTTTCTGATATCGTTTGGGCTACTCAGTCTTGTCAACAATATCGCGCTCGCGTTAATGGTTACACCGGACTCACCATGCATGTCATTATGTAGTGATGGCCAGGGCTCGGACAGTATTGATGGAAGTGAAATTGTCTGCCAAAATGAACATTTCATAACCACTACAGCTGGCCAAAAATTGAAGTCATGTCTCTCTTGCTTGCAGTTGAGTACTGCAGCTGGTAATGATCAAAATGATCAACACTGCTTCATGTGTAAGTTTGGTTTTGTCATGACGTTTTGAAAGTCACTTGTGTACTAACGCCCGGTAGATAATGTTCGTTATACTTTGGCATCATGCCTATATGGATTTGTCAATGCTACAGATACGATAGCGACACCGTGCTCTACCTCTAAAGCTTGTGGCCCATTCCAACTAGCAATCGAAGATGGAAACTTCATCACCAAAAATGAAACAGCTTACGGATATTGCTCGGCAAACTACAATTCTATTCTGAGTGGCGGCACTTCCGCATGTAAAAGTTGTCTTCAATCTGGCAACACCGAATCCTATCTCTCAAATTGTGAGTCCTGTTCCCAAAATTATGACCATCAAATACTAATTAACCTAGTCCTGATAGCTCTCCAAGCAGGATGTCACCAACAGCCCCCCGACGGAACTATCATTGGTCTCAATGCCTCCGTCTTCTCTCAATATGCCATAACCGAAACATCCCCTGGGCAAAGCTACAATATCACCGTTCCCAGCACCACCGCATCCAGGAAAGGTCTATCCAAGCACACAATCATTGGGGTATCTGTCGGTCTTGGCATTCTTCTCCTCATTACCCTTTTCATAATTTTCACCCTGTGGCGTAATTACATTTCCTTAAAACGTGGGCGCGACCGCCATACTCCTTTGGATGAGAGATATGGCGCTCTCAATATCACGGCGCCCAACGAAGGTGCATTTGGAAACCCATATACGCGATCCGAAACCATCACTCTAGCTGCACCCCCGCCGGCTAGAAAACATAATAATGCAGATACCACACCGCCATTCAATCTCTCAAAGTACCCAAGCGACGATGAAAGTTTGCATAAACACGATACGATTCTTCTTCCGGCTCATCACGCCTACTATTCCCCTTCGATACCTCATTCAAATTCATATTCGAGAACAGAAGATACGGTGCCAATAATGCTTCACGAGGAATCTTCCTCGCCGTACTCGTATCCTCATTCGTCCAACACACAAACTCCTACTTCTGATCCCCCAAGAACTTTTTCACCGCCAACACAAAATTTGGCGCGGATGTCGGAGAATAATGAGGGTGCAAGTTTTTATAATCGGGAAAAGGCTCAAGATAAGAGGATGTTAAGGAGTGTAGACAGAGACAGGGATGTAAGTATGAATTCGGACGTAACGATGAGTTACGCGAGAGCCGCTATTGATGGCACGCAGAATAGCGGAATTAGTGCTTCCTCTCTTTCTCCGAGCGCACGGAACACTGAAACAAGGATAGATAGTGGTGGAGAGGAGAGAACGAAAAGTCCACTCGTAGAGGGGGATATTGGAGATATGAGGGAGAGGGGTAGGGAGAAGGGAAGGCAAAGAAAGAAGAAAAGAGCACCGAAGAGGATGTCGGTTATTAGCGATCAGGATCAGAATCAGGATCAAGATCAATGGCCTGGAGAATTCTGAAGAGTCGACATTGGATGAGATATGCGATGATTAGATGATACCCGGTCTTTCATCTTGTCATTACTATCTACATTTTCTTAATATATAATTTCCTTAGGCGTGTGTGGGCTTTTAAGTAGCTACTGGTAGCTAGGAAGAGCGGGATTGGTATCAGCTGGCTTGGTATCTGTTTCCTTACTTCAGACCTAGGCATGGGGATGGCGATAGGTGTTTAGGATGTCGGAATCTGTTTGGTAGATCAACTATACATAATTATACCAAATCAACTCATATGGCCAAAGTATCAGGAAAATATAACGGAGAGTTTGTTCCATTTCTAGTATCTACTACTTACGCAATCCCCACAACACCTTTAACCTCATCAAACCTAACCTAATACTCAACCCCCTAAGCTTCAACAAATAACTCAAAATCAGAGTATACAATATTCAATATCCAATATTCAATATATAATATTCTCAAACCAATGATCTAAACCCGAAACCGAAACCGAAATCCAATTAAAATTTCAATTCATATACTAAGTAATATCAGTACCAAGTTCTCCAGCTATAAGCTAGTATGTGTCCCCCCTCTCCTCCCCCCTTTCAGCGCTTTCGCGGAGAATTTCTCGAGCAGATTGTAGCTTCTATCAATTACTTATCACAAATTAGATAAGTGAATCCAAAAGTTAAGCGGTTCCTTTGATATCGTATAGTATAGCTCTTTGATTATTGTTTCTTGCAGTGTTGATTGTATCTTTAAATGGTTATTTGCTTGATGTCGATATTAATATCAATATCAATGATACAATAAAATTATACAGTACTATACTACACAACACCGAACCATACCATGCAGCACACAACACTCGCCATCTCACAAAATTTCTTCCTATACGCCACTGCTCCTTTCTCCCACGATTCCCAGTCATCTTGCATGTCTCGAAAATCGCCTACTCCTCTCATAAGTCTTTTGCTGCATACCTGTGCGTATATATATTTACTTCGGGGTCTTAAGATCCTATACTACTAACTATCTTATCTGTACCGCATGGATAGATGCCCGAGAATGAGTTAAAGTGAGGACTTGGGGGGGAAGACTGATTATGTTCATGTTCATACTTGTAATTGTAATCATAACCACACAATAAAAAACTTCCAGTGCACTCCTCTCTATGATTCGATAGCTCCAATTGATCGAATCTACAGTGAAAAGTATCGTTGCACGTCTGCCAATATCCCGGGTACCCGGGGTATCCTGCCATCAAACTCGCCTACTCATTCTAGAAATTTACAGATTTACATCAGACTAGACTTTAGAAATCTTTCATAACGAGTCTCTATGTTCCGAAGTTATCTAGACAACGCAGAGATGAGATCACAGTGCCACAAACTGAATTTTCATATACTGATCCGAAGAATAAGTTCAGCTCATCAATTTAGGTTCTACATCCTCGAGTAGTTATCCAAAATCTTAAATACACTACTGTATTGTGACTGCATGATCCTCTTCATCTCAGCCAGAAGTCGGATCAAGATATAGAGGGTGGTAACACTAGGTCCAGACCCCCAAAAGGCTTATCGGAAGCTATTTCAGATATGCAACAAAGGGGGTTTTGGCTGGATATTGGGGACCCTTCAGCGAAATATGATGCGTCAACGTGCCATTTGTTCCAATGGAAACTAGACACAGAATTGAACTAGATATTGAGAGCACACCCCCTCGTCAATCTTGGCACTCGGTTAAAGCTTTTGATGAATCCGTGAATGAGTCGTCGAAAGGATGATGAGAATGATTCTTGGCAAGCTAAATCTGGAAAATCCATCTATTCTGCACTCTATAATTCCTCCAATGTATGTCGTTGTGCAATATCACTGCCAGTATTTCGTTAAATGGATTGGAGCGAAAAACTTGGACCTATCTCCGGACATTGAATTCACTGTTCTTGGCTCCTGATCTTGGCTCAACCTGTCATTTATTTGGAAGGAAATATGTTTCCCTTAAATGAACATGATGCTGTCAGATGAGCACTTGCGGTGAACTTAATCATCTCATAATGACACACTCTTCCAGCTGCAGAAGCGTCCGGACCGCAACTGCCGTTCGGTAATTCAGGCAAATATGAAGTTATGATCTAATTCGCAGACCAACCACACATTTCCCCGGATTTGACTGATGTACTCCAGACTTGGCAGTCTTGACTTAATTAATATTGAAGTTAATAACGGTTTTATGGAATCGTGGAATGAAGAAGTAGTTCTTGGCATGTAGTATTAAAATGGTAATTCCCACGTGTGAAACTTCATATATTTTGAGAACTTTGCTTTGAACCAAGGTTGCGCAATTGATATAACAATCGTCATGAGAAGTTCAGATATCACATTCGTCTTGCTAAGTATTGTGGCAACAGTCAGAAGCCATGCAACTTTCCAGGAACTTTGGATAAATAGTGTTGATCAAGTCGGGAGCTGTGTTCGCTTGCCTCCTACTAATAGTCCTGTCACCGACCTAACATCGACTGATTTGCGGTATGTATTTTTTACCGTTCTTTGTAGCGTTTTAAAGATATTTCTACCGACTGACTATACGAACAGATGCAATGTCGGAGGCACAGTTGGAGTATCCGGAGTGTGTCCAGTGGCAGGTATGTCAATTCAAATCGTGAAGACCTTGCTTAACCTGACGTACGACAAGCTGGGGGGAATGTAACCGTAGAAATGCATCAACAACCAGGAGATCGATCATGTGCCAATGAAGCCATTGGAGGCGCTCATTATGGACCAGTCATTCTGTACATGTCCAAGGTCTTGAATGCGGCGAACGATACTGGCGCTGGTTCGTGGTTTAAAGTAGACCAAGAGGGATACGATGTGTCTCGTCAGTGGTGGGGCTCGGCATGTTTTCCCTCTTTCTCTAACCCAAGTCAAATCCCTCGGCTTCTTCCTAGCTTGGAAGTACCCATCCAAAGTATGAGGCTAACACACATATGCAGCAAACCCTAAACGCCAACTGTGGAAAACGTTCTTTCATCATTCCATCAACACTAGCACCTGGTGACTACTTGCTACGCGCAGAAGTCATCGCTTTGCATGTAGCAAGTTCGGTAGGAGGCGCTCAACTCTACCTGTCTTGTTTTCAGCTACGTGTAACTGGTTCTGGCTCAAAGAACCCCACTGGAGTATCATTTCCAGGAGCATATTCGGCAACCGATCCGGGGATTCTGATCAATATTTACCAAACCATAAATAATTACACCATACCCGGACCAACTACAGTCTTTACTGGCTAAGCAGTAGGTAATGAGCATATACACTTCAAGATGGAAAGAGTTGATTGGAAGGTGTGGTAAATACCGCCATGCAGAGCTTAAAAGCAATAAGCGGAAACGAGAACCATGTATTGAGCAATGAAGTCCGCAATTATCACCCTTTTCAAGCTAACATGCCTTTGGCTGTCTAGCATGCAAATACTATGATAAAGTTTCTCAAGCACAAAAGCCTCATCACCAAGCGGTTAACTCCTGAAAGACATTGTCAAAGGTGTCGATTCACAATGTTTACTTAATCATGAACAATAGAAGCACACAACACGTAAAATGGACTACTCCTAGCTGTGACTATGAGTGCAGAACAAACGGCGCTTAGATCATGTGCCCACGTAACTGCAGGCTTGAGAACATTGCCGAAATACCAATGACGATTTGGTGTAGATCCTTGGAGTGCATGCCCAAAGAACTACGGAGTTTAAGGAACAAGTAACTGCCGATCTGGGGGTGAAAGATTGATGTTGCATTAGATCAATGTGGTTGATGCGACTGGATGAATTGAGTTCTGGTAGTGGGGTCAATTGTCTGTACTGTGCTGTACAATCCCAGGTGAAAACCCAGGAGTTTGGTTGTAGCGCCGTAGCATGAAACAAGATTTGCGAAGGGGAAGTATGTGGTTTCTCAGAACGGACAGAGGCTTTAGGAAAGCAATGCGGTTCGGGTGTGCTGAGTCTTACGGGGCGAAGAATTTGGCTTCAGTGTCACCTCACATTGAGAAAATAAGCGCCATTGGAGCACGCAGTATGCTTGATGGACGAGGTGACATTGTACCTCGGATTATTTGAATCGGATGAGTGGAAAGATCTGACGATTTTGATGACTTACGACCTCGGGCACGTAGGTTGATACTCACAACAGTTGCGTGGCTTGTATCCGTTCCATGATACCAATAACAAAGTGAATCTCAACTTGATACGAACCCTGAACTGTTATGCTGTTGTGCTAGTATGTCCTATGGGGTCGAAAAAGATATTGTTGGAATATTTTGCAGTGGGAATGGGAACTGATAGATCGATCACGGGGGGCGCAATAAATTCATTCCAACATGCAACAGGTAAGCTGAGCTGGATTGGGCTGATGAGGAATAAAGTTCAAAGCGGAGTGAAATTGGGGGCCGACTGGTGGACTTTCCTTTCCCTTTGCTTTTCCCTTGCTTTCCCCTTGCCTTTCCCTTGCCTTTCCCTTTCCCTGTCTCCTTCCCTTCTGCTGATTCATCTTATCTTATCCACAACACCAACCTTTAGACAATACTTCAACCGGCCCGCACCGGAAACTAATCTCGAGCCAATTAAAACAAATAAAGTTTGAAGAACAAGTAGAAGCGAAATAAGCGAATATTGGGCAACAAGAAGATCGATTGGATCAAATTGAATCACGTAGATCATGTGGATCATACCAAGGTGGGTATAATGTAAATGTCGATATTGAGAGAAAAAATGGTCTGGAGTTCTTTCCCCCCGAGCTGAATTATTGAATATGTGACAACATTTCCAAAAGGGTAGGTGGCGATGAGAGCATCGAATCGATTACTCTTCTCAAACACCGTGGGTTGGAAAAGTGGAAGCAAATAACATACAGCAAGCCACTCTCAAGTATATCACCAAATGTTGGTGTTTCGAACATCTGACTAAACATAGGTAGATAGGTAGGTAGGTAGGTAGGTAGGTAGGTAGACTGTACGTGCTTACTACAACAATCCATTAATCCATCAATCTATCAATAAATACACAGCCATGCTTCAATTCGGAATCTCGGACCCCAATAGAGGTATTGTCAAATTCAACCGTCTTTTTACCGTTGGCTATGCCTCTTTCTTAAGAAAAAGGAAAACAAGGAGAAGATCCAAATCGCCCAAATCATCCAATTGATTCCATGATCACAACAATGGGTCAACGGCGGTCTGCATATTCCGCCACAAATTGAGGAACATCAGGAACATCAGGAATACGGCAAATACTGATTTGATCAAACAAGAAAAGAACTCCCTTGTCAATTTCTTTGGACCCCAGCTTCTTCTTTTCTGCATACGACCAATTGTTTTTCTTCATTCAACCAATCATCAAATGTGACGACTTGATTGAGTGATGGGAAAGAATGGAAATGATGAAAAAAGGTCGAAGCTCTCCAATCATGATGATAAGATGAAGATATACCCATGTTCATACATATGGTCAGTAACCATGTCTGCATGGGTGCCTTGTACCTTACCTTGGCCTTCTATTCAACCGCCAGACTCTTGTGTGATCGATGCACCGGGAAGGAAGTGGATGTGATGCTGGATGCGGAGAACCTTTCTCAATTAGTAGAAGCACAACTGCATTTCTTATCACACACATAATCCACTATCACCTCAATTTTTCAAGTCATACAAGAATGTCAAATTCCCGCAACACGAACTTATTCATGAAGTCTATGAGTCGGTTGAATGTCGTTGGACGAATACTTCTTTTTTATCAATATCTTCATGACGGTTCAATAGAGGATCAATCAACCTTCAATACCTATATCACAGTAATATTTGGATGAGAAAGATCTTGCTGGTCGAGATCAAATATCAGACTATTATTTATTATTACTCCACCTTACGATACACAAGAAAGATCCTTGATGAGATAGAGAACGATAAGGGATTGCTTCGAATGACGAAGGTTCAATAATTTACACGCCACCTGCCACGAATCCCTCTTTCCCGTTACTCTCCAATACATAATAATAACATATCTGCAAAATGCGGTCTTCAATATTGGCTCCGAGCCTCTTCCTCATCACATCCCTCACACAATCCACGAGTGCATTGAAAGCTCTATCGGATTCACCATGTGCATCGAAATGCGGCAATGTTTTAGGAGGAACCTCAGGAGAGGATGATATCGTGTGTCAGAATACGGACTATACAAGCTTAGTTGGAACAACATACTCGGGTTGTGTGGGATGTCAATTGTCGAGTACTTTTGTTGATCCTTCAACGAACGAGACGGATTTGGAATGGGGTTTATGTTCGTTGTTCTCTCCTCGAATGTATGTGTTGAAGTATGACTAACGTAGCCGGTACATAGATAATTTGAGATACGCCATGAGTTGGTGTCTCTTCGGCTTCCCAAATAATACAGATGTGGAAGATACGCCATGTATAACGTCTCTATCGTGTGGTCCAATGAAGAGTGCCATCGAATACGGAAATCTAACGACAGATGCCCAAACTGAATATGGCTATTGTTCAGACATCGCTACGAATCAAATCGCCGAATGTCAGAACTGTCTGGAGATCTCCACAGCAACATACTACCTGAACAACTTCTACACTCTTCTCTATGGAGCCTGTGATCAACAGCCCGCACCAGGCTCAACTTTATCCTTCCAAGGCTCGCCATTTTCCACAACTCGACTCAATATGACATCTCCCACTCCCACCGCCGTACCCGGTCAAACCTATTCCGGCCTCTCTCTCAATGCACGAATCGGAGTCGCAGTAGGAATAATTGTCTTCGCCCTCTTTATTGCCGGTTTTTGCATCGTCTTTAACGGCCGCCGTCGCCGCCGTCGCATTCTTCGTCAACATCAACTCGATACAGGCTATGCAGCCTGGAAAAACGCACACGACGTCGATGGACTAGGCGGCCATATTCCTGTCAATGAAGTAGATAGTGCAGTCTCTAATATGACATCCGGATCGGGAGGATTTTTTGATAGTCCCAATTCCCAAAAACCTCTACAGCCGAATTATTGGGGCCAACAACAACCTCATGGTGGGAATTTCCATGGGCCGGCTGTCATGACGCCGATTGAAGATAGTCCCATAACTCCTATGGTCGAGAAAGTGTATCTGTCTCCTTATTCCTCACCATACAGTAGTCCGGCCACAGCATCTACAGATGCAAATGGGAGGAGTCCGAATATTGATCAGTGGCCTATGGATCGAAAGGGAAGCTTCGGCCAGAGCAGTTTCGGTCAAGGAGGAGGCAGCATGGCTGAAAAACTGAAGGCTCGAGAGAGGGAGAGAGCAAGGAGGAAGAAAGAAGAGGAGGTGATGAATGAGCGCAATCAAATCGAGCTGCAGAATATGCAAAATTTCCAGAACCAAAACGTGGCTCCGGTTTTGGGGCATCCGGGATATGGAAGGGACCGAGATGGGGTGAGGGGATTAACGAGTGAGGATGCGAGGAGGGGTGATGCGCTTTAATGTCCATTGGGATCTAGGGGCTTGAGAGGTGTGCCGTTGTTTGTTCATTTTGAGTGTAGATTTTTTGTATATCATTTTTTGTGTTCGATTATTTGATGATACCATTTTGCGACGGAGAGAGGAAAGGTGGGCTAGTCAGATTGTCCAGAGAGGAATGGGTGGACGAATAAATGAATGAATGAATTGTTAATACTGATTGCACAGTCATTTGGAAGGCACAAGACGAGGAAATAAATGCCACTCCAGCAAAAGTAAATTTGGAGGAAAGGAGACTCTTTTGATATTGTTAATGGAGAATATATATAGGTGTGATGTACATCACCACAATCCATTAATTCACTTCGTACCATGGAAATAATAATATCGGCCTATGAATTTAATAAATCTCTGTTCTTCTCTCCACTGTTCTGCAACGATTATCTCGATAATGTACCTTGATAACCAATGGTTCGATTTTTATGATTGAGTATCCATACACATGTTGCACGTATATGTACTTCGAAATCTATTTTTTTATTGTCGAAGATTAGATTCGGGGGAGGGGGGAGGGGAGTTCTGATTTGTGTGTTGTGACTTGTAAGCGCTGGGAGAAATTGGGGAGGGGGAAGATTGTTTTAGGTTTGGAGTTTGTATGTATATGTGTGTGTATGTATATAGTTTGTATTTCTGAATTATGATTTTGAGAAGTTTTAGGAAGTGAATAGTAGGGAATAAATAAATAGTAGAAAGTGAGGAGACTAAAAAGACTAAATAGAGTAACTACGCACAAGACAAAAAGTATACTTATTATTCAAGTATCTAAATTCTGATTCTGAATATTTAATACTTTTTGAATATCAATATAACCTTAATCCTAACTATAACCATATCTCCTCACAATCCCACAATATCTCTCCATCTCTCAACTTCCCTTCCTCTCAAGCAAATCTATCATCATACAACTACACCCCTGAATCTCCAAATCTCTCTCTCATAAATATACCTAAATTCATATTTGTTTTATTCGAATCACTTCAACTACTACTTCTCTACACACCTACCCATTCAACTTACCCACCCAGAAACACACATCTCAATAAACACAAACAAAACACCTTGAAACCCTCCCCTTTCGCATCCTCATTAATGTTTATATATAGATATGTAAAAGTTTACGTTTATATTTATACTCACTACAAATAACATTGATTTTAATACTGACACGCGTATATATACCTACGTACCATATCAAGAGAAGTGGCTATATGCTATCCAACTCGAAGATACAACGTCATTATAAATAATAAAACATCTGAGATACGCCGCAGGTACTTATACAACTATGTATATACCCAACTAGTACAAACGCCCAAACATAAAAGCCCATCTCGATTCTCGCTAGCTAGCCAACCCCTTTTCCGTTCTTATCAGAAGCCCAAATAAATCTTACCACAAAACACAAAATAGCCATACAACAACCAGAAAAACAAGCATTCCGATTCCCAATAAAATCCATCTCACTATCCAATCCTAATGCTTAAATCACATCGACGCATCACAATAATTACAAACAGATGATTTTGAAATTCTTCTCATTTTCAATCTCACAATTTCTACTTTATCACAGAGAGTGTACTCGAGTACTCACCTTCCCTGATATCTCCCAATCTTCTGTTGTCTACTACATCCATCATGTCAAACAAATTGAACCTCTCCAAATCCTTTAAACCAATACCGTGTGTCTAACTCTTACTTCCTCTGAAAGATGTAACGATATAGCCCATCCCCTCTCGATCCATTGAATTTCAAATTGAAACCCACGTGTATCGATATGTTTCTTCAGGTCGGGTTTAATTCACTTTCACGTCGAGTTTTAGATTCAGACATTCCCCACTCGTCAGAGGCTCCCAATTCAAATCCCATGCCATACACCCATCCAATTCTATGTTTCCCATATCCACGCCCCAATGAACACCATTCTAACATATTCCCAATGGCCTAATGACAGCCCATAGAATGAAAAATAAGACAAAGAAAAAATTAAGGAACGTGGTATCCGAGGATATGTAGACGACGAAATAATCAAAGAAAATTATGGTGATACCACCTAAACAGCCCCAAGATCCTTTAAAGCTCCTGCTAATCTTCTATAATCTCTCAATAACTCCATTACTTCACTAATTTTGAGATCCCCTGGATTTTGAAGTTCCATGAATCGTTTGTTCGGTGGCGCGATTTTGGGTGTCTCTTTGGGTGGCAGAGACGTTGCTAAATCGGGGAATGTCTATCAAAGTCAGTAAGGATAAATTATACAGGGTCCATGATACATACAGTAGTCAAATCAGCAGTCCCTCCATCCGGTACGGTTGATCTAGTCGGGGTGGGCGTTGTTGGGGTTGTTACACGTCCAAAACTACGCATCATACCCATCCCAGCAATCCTGTTCATTGGGTTGAGTGAGTTGCCGAGATTTCGCATCGATTCAACAATGGCTGGATTGCCAGCAGGAGCCTGTGGAGAGGGCGTCCCTTTCTCTCCATTTTCTTCTTGAGCAAATGCAACCCTTTTGCTAGAGCTACCACCACTTCGATTACTATCCGCGCTTCTTTCTCTAGTCATTTTGCGACCACCAATGAAGCTGAGAACTCTATCGTCAATTCTTTGAGCTGAATCACTTCGGCTACGTCCCTCGGGCTTCGTCTCTGCACTAGACCCATCCTTATGTTCCTTAACAGTTGGGCTTTGAGGAGTGCTTCCACCACTTACAGATCCGTCATCTTCTGGTGGAGGTGTACTGATAAGCTTTCGGGCATCATCCAGCGTTTTTGGTATAGCGATTTCTGAAGCTTGGCCTTTGGAGTCGCGCTCTTTTAGCTTTCCAAGCAGGAATTTATAGCTACCTTCCAAACTGTTCCCAATACTCTTGAAACCCTGATCAGCGGTATCAAATATTGCATCTCCAGCTGCCCCGAAAGCCGCAGGTGGCTGGAATAAATCACTAAGCCTTCGGTCCGCTGTTTGAATCGTAGGCCGAAGTGTGGATACGGGTGAGTTCGTAGGTTTAGACACAGAAGCACTTGGGGTTGCCGAAACAGTTGTTGGAGCTGAGAGACCTGTAGGTGTGATACCAACTGTCAAAGAGTCAGGTTTATCTGTTTTCGGTGTGCTTGGTCGACTACTGATTTTGATTGGCCCTGATGGAATTTCGTCTTCCCTCAAACTTGCAAGATCTACAGTTTCAAGGAAAGAAATCGCAGCTTCTAAGTTTGTTAAGCAATAAGCAGCTTCCCCATCAATCTTCGTTTCGCATCTAAATCGCTGTATAAAGTAAAGATTGCTTATAACATTCATCCCTTCTGGTCGAGACGTGATAAGAGTAAAGATGAGCATGGGCATAATCTCATCCGCCGATGAAGATGGATGAAAGTGTGATAAAGTATCAACAATACCTTTATGGGCTGCCTTTAAGTGGTTAAGTTTCCCAAGAGGATATCTTTCGTCGTTCATTGCAATCAACTCTGCTCTGGCTCCTTCTAGCCACTCTCGGACCTCTAGTTCTCGCTTTTCAGCTGCATCTGGCTTTTCACTCGATTCTATGCCCAAATCAACTCCTAAATCTACTAACCCTATCCCAACCACTGACAAAGCGGCAGTTTTCGATCGGAGTTTCTCGTCCTGAGCTTCATCTTGTGAACTCCTGTGTCGCCATATCCTATCATATATGCCTTCACAAACTCTCCTCTCCATTGCTTCTTCTAATGCAACACGTTTATGTTCAAGCGCTTTCCTAGCACGTTTCCGCTCGTTGATTTCTTCGCTAGTTAACATCTGTTGTTCAGATGATTTTCTTTCTATTACTTTGGGACGTTCCTTATTCATGGAGGTAGCTTTCGCTCTGATCTTGCTCGCAGTTGCGGATAACGATGAAGCTGGTGGGGCAGGAGAGCTTGCGCGATGCTGTCGGGAGGATAAGGCGGAGATGTGAGTGTTGATGTGATTAGCAGCAACGGCATAGAAGTCTTGGAAAAGCCCCGATAATTTGTCGACTGAAGGAGGGTTGGGATGAATCTTTGCAGATAGAGAATCAATAAAGCTACAGCGAATGTTAATCAGGCGTGTTAGTTGCTTTGAGCTAAAGATTTAACTGACCTATCTGCTAAGCTCACAAGCTCTATAGGAAGTTCATCGAAGTCCACGGGTAACTTTCCAGACGCCTCAGTCGTTTCCCCGCCCTCTCCTTCATCCTCGGAGGTTTTCTCAAATATATTTGATTGTGTCCCAGGTCGCCTGTTTTCTCCCAACTTTGCTGTGTCCGACATCAGTATCGACGGAACAGTGCCGTTCTGTATGGTGTTTGCTCTAAGCGGACGGGATAGACGATCCGGACTGGAAGGTGGTTCTTGATTTGAAAATGACTTAGAAAGCTGCAATGGACGGGGCCGTTGGCTATCACTCTTTTTCCCTGGGGACGACATGAAATCTGGTAAAGTGAAATGCATCTTGTCAGTAAATGACTGCATTTTGAAGGCAATGAGAGAAAGTTGAGAAGATAAACATTTAATACCTATTTATGAAGTGATGAACTAAAGTCGCATGAATACGATGACGCCTGAAACTCTACTTTGCTCGAGCAACAACCGGGGATCGTTGTGTAAAAGAGTGTGGAAAAATCGAAGAGTTCGATAAATGTAAAAGGAAGATAGTCAAGTTACATTTCATAAGCATAAATTGATTTTGATGAACCAAACAGTAGGTAGAAGGCACTCAATAAGGAAAGAAAAGGAAATAGAAGATAGCAGTACTCGATGTAGTCTGAGTACCTGGTCGAAGTAGTTTCCGTGATTAGCTTGAAGCTACGTGTGTTTATATTAGATAAGTCAACGAGGACTTATAAGCTGGTTACTTTAATTAGCTATGGACGACTCACTCGTAGACGCCAGCTTTTGCCAGTTGGTCTTCGACTTTTGATGTATTGAGTTGAACGTGGTTTTGTCTTCCGGCCGGCGTGTATTTTGGTAAATTGAGAGAGGTATGACGAAGGGGTCGGCTTTCCTAATCGATCCAGATTGACTTGGATACAGCCTTCAATTTTGGCGTATAACTGAGTATGACTGATAGTATATTTGATCATATGAATCTCCTTCTCCTGTCAGGTACGGCAATCTTTCCCAACATCGACCAAACCTAGAAGCTTGTCTCGAGGCTGTGAAATATAAGAGATGCACAAGGATCAGTCAGAGATCCAATGGGATTTCTTCATTTCGATGTCCTGCACAGAGTATAATGCTCCGCCTAATGCTTGTGTGCTTGTGACGCCTCTTTGACATTAAACTATCGTCATCTATCATCTATCATCCATCATCTCTCATCTCAATACTCGAGTATGTTCAGCAAAACATACCTACTATATTGTTAATCATACACAACAAAGTGTCAAAGTAGATTCATTTCTTTTGTTTTCCTCATTCATAAGTGCTTTCTTCAAGATGAGGTCTCACTCATCTACATCTTGTTCTTCTGCCGGCAGGGTTACAGCTCAATTACTACTATCTTTCCTGGCCTTATCGACACCGATAAGTGCATCGGACTCAACTCAGCAACAACAACAGCAGCAACCAATATTGCCCGTATTACCACCTTTGATTCCAGGATCAGGTCCTGGACAGGATTCCGCTGGCAATCATGTATTTGTAAATATATCCTTTCACCGCCACATTTTAAATAATGCTAATAGAAAATAACAGTCCCTTCGCCACGTCTTCCATCATGGAACGTACGAATACCCTCAACTACATAAACAGCTCGATATCCTAGATACCAAGTCCAAGTCAACAGTATGGCTGGAATCCGAAGATGGAAAGGGGCCATTACAAGAGGTGACAAGGCCATTGGTTATGAAGAAGAGCCCAGTGAAGATAGAACGATTAAAAGACAGGAGACCTTCAGTGGTTGATCCAATGGTGGCGGCATCAAGAGAGAGCGGAGATGTATGGGCGTTATCACCGTCGGCTTGGACTGTTGACGAAATCCCTGGACCGGATATTACAGACAAGGATACAATCATAACACTGGCACAAATGGCAGCGAACGCCTATGTGGATAAACCAGAAACAGGGGACTGGAAGGACGTCAATGGGGGGTTTAATCGAACCGATGACTATGGATTTGGCTGGGATGCCGACGGGCTACGAGGTTATATCTATATGGATGAGTCGAACTCGACAATCGTCATAGGATTAAAAGGAACGAGTCTTGCGGTGTACGATGGAGATGGGACAACTACAAACGATAAGGAGAACGACAATTTGTTCTTCAGTTGTTGTTGTGGCCAACAAGGTGCTTCTTTCTACCGACAAGTCTGCGATTGTGCTACTGGAACTTACACTTGCAATGTATCGTGCCTCAAGAAAAGTTTAAGGTCTGAAAACCGATACTACACCGCGGCTCGACACCTCTACTCCAATGTCACAGCTCTTTATCCTAACGCAAATGTGTGGATGTCAGGCCACTCTCTTGGTGGATCGGTCAGTTCCATGTTAGGGTTGACATATGGTATTCCTGTTGTCACATTTGAGGCCGTTCCGGATGCTCTGCCCGTAAGTCGTTTAGGACTACCAGCGCCACCAGGTCACAATCCAAGTACACCACAAAAGCGTGAGTTTACTGGGGCTTATCATTTTGGACATACTGCCGACCCAATTTATTTGGGAACATGTAATGGCGCTACCGCTTCTTGTTCATATGCTGGATACGCATTAGAAAGCTCATGCCATAGCGGTATGGAGTGTGTTTATGACGTTGTGGCCGATCACGGGTGGGGAGTACATATCTGGTCGCACAAGATCATAACTGTAATTGAGCAAATCATCAAAGTCTACGACACGGTACCAGTTTGCAAATTTACACCGGAATGTGTAGACTGTCCACTTTGGAAAGAGATAGAAGGCAACAGCAGTAGCACTGCCACGTCAGCGCCATCGACGTCGACCACGAACACTCGGAGTCGTACCTCTACCTGTAAAACGCCTGGCTGGTGGGGTTGCTTAGACGAAGATGCATCTACTACCTCCAAGCCTACGACTAGCGTACCAGTCACTACCACATCAACTTCGACCTCAACTTGCAAAACCCCTGGCTGGTTTGGCTGTAAAGATGAGAAAACTACGACTAAAAGCAGCAGTACTTCAGTGCCACATACACCCACTTCCACCTCTTCTACTACGAGTACAACAGCAACAACAACTTGTGAGCATCCTGGCTGGTTTGGTTGCAAAGATCCCACCTCCACTTCCACATCCATCTCTGTCTCAAGCACAAAAGATACACCCCATTCCATAACTTCCGCACCACCTCTCCCCTCGCCCACAACCTCAACCCCATCGACTACAACCCAAACGTGCACCTCTAAAAACTGGTTTGGTTTCGTCTGCGTTGATCCTTCACCTGATGTAAAACCAACGCCTAGCGCGACGCCAAAACATAAGGAAACATGTTTGAAGAGGAATTGGTGGTTTAAGTGTACAGACTCGAATGTGGAATTGTAAATGGAGCAATAGAAGATAAGACTAATCATTGGAAACGAGAGAAATAATTGGAAAATCTAAGTCTTCACTCAATCGTCTTAAGCTCAAAGTACGAACATTCATGGATCCTTCACCTCTTTTCCTTTTCTCACCGGTCAAATAAGATAGGGGTAGAGTCGCTTGGCGGGAATATAGACAAGAATGTAATTTAGCGACGAGTTTCTCGTTGCAGCCATTCGGATTTAGAAGCATAGCATACACGCATACATACATACAGACACGCAAGCATAGCATCGTATTAGCAAAGGCGTTTTCTTTTCCTTGGTTTATTGGGGTTCAGTTGGGAATAGGCTGGTCTTATGGAACAGGACAGGGTAGGGTAGGATAGGATAGGTGCATAGAGTTAGTTAATTACATATCATGAATATCATACTTACATGTATACGTCGCCGTAGAGTGGTGGTTACTTTGGCTCTCATTTTGATGCTCACTTTCACGTTCTCATCAGATTGTCCACGATGTCTTGACTTAAGACATGTGTAGGTATCATTTTATTCATATCTTTCTCCTCTGCTGTATAACTACAATCACCCTCAAAGAACGCCGCCCCTTGCTATGCGAAATCGAAGTAGACCTGTGTGATTAATTACCTATTGCTCGATAAATATTCGTTTAATGTGCACATATATGCATTTCCCATTATCTCTCGCTCCTTTCTTTGTTTTCATCTCTCTATTCTCCTTCCCAGTCTTATACCTATTCCGGTCCTCGCCCAAATTAACATTTCCTAATCCTCAGAATGTAAACTCTCATTTTCATCGTCATCATCCTCGTCACTCTGCACCCTAGACGCAATTGTCTTTCCACCCAAACTAGGTCTTACAGGCGAATTTAGATCATCGTCCTCGCCTTCGGCATCTGCTTCGGAGAGGGCCTCCTCAACTTCGGCTGCCTCTCTCTCTGCGTCATCCTCATGGTTCTCTCCATACGGCCAAGTCTTAAACCCTTCCATCACCTGCTTTGTCTCCGCACTCGGATCAACAATACTCAGATCCACCATATCCAAAACTTCCTCTTCTTCGCCGCTAATATTGTGTCTCATCTTTTGAATATTCTTGGTTCTCTGTGGTCTGATGGAACTTCGTTGAACGACAGGATAGTAATGAGCGGCTTTTTGGTGTAACCCATCGGTCCCATCGTGCATAGCTATCACCACATATTCATCATATTTATCATCTGTCCCACCGCTCGTTTGAACTGTTTCATAGCCACGGAGTCTCTTCAGTCTGAACGCTCCCTTGCCTGTTTCTTCATCAAATTGTGAATACAGGTCCCTATCGTCGTGTTCAGGATCCAGAACGTCGAATTTCCGTTTGATATTCTTGGCATCAGTAACCGTATCCGGCATGAACATTTCGTATTGTATCTTTTCGTCCGGAGCTGGGTTATTATGGGGATCTAATTCATAAGCTTGTCTAGCAGCTTCTTTCATTTCAATTTCTGCCTCGGTGGGATCAGCGGGTCTTAAAACACTGCTCTCAACCCGAGCGTCGTAAGTAGAGCTTGGAGGAACGGGGTTGGTGAGAAACTTCAATAGGACATATCCGCCTGCATCTGGGAAAGCATCTAGATCTGGTATAAGAGGAACTGCATTGACTAATTGGACATTTCGCTTGGTAGGATGGCGGACTCGGGTGCGATCCTTGAGATTGGTAGCGGCGGTTTCGAAGCCCTTCTCAACCTGTGCCCTGATGTATGCAGGAGATTCGCGATCAGCTGGTAAGCTTTGAACAGGTTTTGGTTTTCGTGTGTCAACCAGTCCTTTCGCTGAGGTGGTGCCTTCCATCCGCGCTTTCGAGGTAAAGCCAGAAGAGATATATTCAGTGCGTCGCAAAAATGAGACTCCCGTATCGGAGAATTTAGGCTTGCCCAATGTCGCCAATGGTCTGAGAAGAGCACGATCATGAGGATGAAGTTGTGGAGGGTGTAATGGTGCTTGTATAGCTATTGAAATTAAAAGTGAGCGATTGCGCAAGTTGCAGAGAAATATGCGAACTTACAGCTCTCGTCTCCGTCAAATATGCCAGGCATTCCTACCAAGTCTAATGGCATACCAAGTTCCGCATCGGCTTCGATATTCAATGGTTGATCTCGCGCTAATCTTGTAGCAAATCCAGGTGTAGTATATTGACCACTGGCAAGGCCAGTATTTGGGATGTCGAGGAGCTTGGGAGGATTTGGAGGTGGTGGTAAGGCATTGGAATATCGTATGCGAGCAATATATTCTTGATGAACAATTCGAGATGCTGAGGACGCCATCTTATTGCTCGATGATTGTTTTGTGGATATGCTTGAATTTATTATTGTAGGTTGATAATTTTTGGAATGTCGCGTCTGGATAGATGGACGGACACTGGGAAAATAGCACTAGTGACAAGGCTGGATTGTATGGCACAAAACTGTGGCTGAAGTTTTGTCCAATTAAATTTCACTTTCTCACTACGGGTCATGTCTAGTATTGTTATCTCAGATCATTGGCCCGTACTTAATAGAAAAGGAAGTTGATTGTATCACGTATCATGCACATTAGAGCCCAACTAAGATGTTTTGAGGGAAGGATTTACACAGGAAGATGCAGTCTAGGCGGAGAGTGTTTGCAAAGACATATTCACGATATACCACACATACAAAAATAGATGAGAGCATAAGCTTATCAAAGGAAACACAAGTTGAATATATCATTTGATTGCGCGACTTTGAAATTCTGGAGTGATGTCCAAAAGGGATTTGTGGTCTTCAAAAGGATCTTTTTGGAGCTCTGCTAATGTTTCGAAAAGCTTGAGAGGTACGATATTGTGATGATGCTGCTCTTCTGTTGACTTTGACTAGCTCGTATCATCTATTTCCCGATAGCTTTTCAGCTATACCCGACCCTTGAATGTCCTAGAGAAACCCTAAGTATACTAGAACAGAGAAAATTGTAATTAAAATCAATAAGGGGTTCGCCTCCTGCTCCCCAAATCCTCTCATGAACAAATATGAAGTACAGCTGTTTGTACACAAGATAGCATTGCTATCATCTCTCCAAGTCCATCGTCACCCGAGCGGGCCATTTATTCGTTGCATCCTGAAACCAATCGAGTTTACGAGCTGTTTTTGGTATACTTAGTCTTGCCGAACGAGAACGGCACATATCGGTATTTAATCATATGTTGAATTTGTCTGCGCACTGCGGAAAAAGTCAGTATGTTGAAACACTACTCTATCTCTCAAGTTATTCTTCTATCAAGGAATTACTTACTGGTCAATGTGAACAGAATCAACCAATAAACAACCAGCACCGGCCAGAACACTGGTACATCGAAAATCTCGAACCAAGTACAAGCGAAACCAATTCCGATTGCTCTTGTCGCTGAATGCCAGAACTTAAACTCGGGAAGTCTTCTGATAAATGGGCGGAACTCTTCGTCTTGTTTGGTTGGTAATCCACCAGCAGCTCCATCTTCCATATCATTATCGATAGCTTCATTGGAGGGGTCAAACTTAGGTTGAAGGAATGCGAGAAAGAGGTTAAGAAGGTAGATTCCAAGAGAGTATGCCACTATTGAAATATATAAGTTGAGAACGCGCACAAGAACCAAGAGTCAACATACCAATATACCATCCTTGTGCGACGAATATGCGAATGAAGAATATCATAAGAAGCCCAAATGTAGCCAACCATCTGTAAGGAACATATGGTGTTGATTTATCTAGCCAAGCTTGGTATTGCTGTTTATTTCGAATTAGTCTATATGTCCTTTCCAAATGATGCGATTCAACAAATCGCATATATGGACAAACTCACACGTCCTATCTTTGAAGTCTGCGCGCTCACAGCCGCGAAAGGGGTTTGTTCTGGTTCTATCGAATCCATATTGAATCGCGTGTCCTTGTGTCGAAGTGGTATAGAATTGGTGCAGGTGTAATAACTCTTGTCGAAGAAGTTGGAGTTTGAAGGAGTGACGTTTGGAGGTAGGCGCGGAAAGTAGTTGGAGTTTGAACTTTTCGAAAATTCGAGACCACCTGTTTTAATAGAATCGCCCCGTGGAAAGCGTCGTGGCTTAAGATTGTGGCGCGTGTGTGTCCATCTTCACGTGATACTCAATTATGCGGGACGGTGGGTCATGTTTGGGGGGCTCGGGGGTTAAGCTCTGAGTTCCCGAGGATAATCGGTTGTACCCGAATTGCCAGAAATGAGTTCAGTGGAAACGTACACAAGCTGCTTTTGATATTCAAATCATTGGAATTCTTGGATCTCAATTTAATGATCTGAAGTGACGGCTTCATACAATCGGGGTCAAAGTCTAACTTTGCGATATTCTACATCTCAATAAATCATGTATTCAATTAGAACATTGAGGCCCCTTGCCTCGCGATTCACAGCTCCAACTCTCCCCGCACTTTCACGAGCCTACTCAGCCAAATCCTACGAGTTCATACAAACTTCAGAACCAAGACCCGGCGTAGGGCAAAGTACTTTGTTCTACTCTACCTTTTATAATAACGTCTTCACTAACATTTATCAAAGTAACATTAAATCGACCCAAAGCACTCAATGCCCTATCTACACCACTCATAAACGAACTCAACGATGCACTTAAAGCATTCGATAAATCTCCCTCCATATCTGCTATTGTTCTTACCGGATCTGAAAGAGCCTTTGCAGCCGGTGCGGATATCAAAGAAATGGCACCGCTTACCTTTTCTGAAGCCTACACAAACTCTTTCATAGAATCTTGGTCAGACCTCACAACCGCCATCAAGAAGCCTATTATCGCAGCCGTATCAGGACATGCGCTAGGAGGAGGCTGTGAATTAGCTCTAATGTGCGATGTATTGTACTGCACAGAGAAGGCAAATTTTGGGCAACCAGAAATTAAACTTGGGACGATTCCTGGAGCCGGCGGAAGTCAAAGACTTACGAGGGCAATTGGAAAAGCTAGAGCTATGGAGCTTATATTGACCGGCAAGAACTTTAGTGGCAAAGAAGCTGGAGAATGGGGAGTTGCGGCAAGGACGTATGGAAGCTGGGAAGAGCTCATTGAAGCTGCGCTAGGCACTGCCGAGACAATTGCAGGATACAGTAAGGTAGCAGTACAGGCTGCGAAGGAAGTTGTCAACAAGAGTCAGGACTTACCACTCAGAGACGGTGTAGAGTATGAGAGAAGAGTTTTCCACAGCTTATTTGGAAGTGAAGATCAAAAGATTGGAATGAAGGCTTTTGCGGAGAAAAAGAAGGCCGAGTGGACTCACAAGTAACTGTTAGCATTATTTCTGTGCGATAGATACCAATTTTACTGAAAGTGCTAATTATGGACAACACAACGAGTTTTTTTCCTTCAACATTGTTGGCTGGATGAGCTGTATTCTCTTTTATTTCGGGCTGCTCTAATGGGTCGTTTGCTGCTTCTATCGCAAATCGTACAATATATTTTGGCCATCCAACCATATACAGCTCACGAACCTTACCCTCCTCCACGCGACTGAATGCCACGCACTGATAGTGTTCTCGCTCTGTTCCTCCTCGATTCTGACGCTCTCTCACGACATGTCCATCCGGAATAACTAGATAATAAAACGCCTGGGAAAGTCCCAATCCTGATTCGTCTAATTCGCATCTCTTTCTGGTCGAGCGGGAAGTATGTTTACTGTGTACAATTCAAAGCCGAAAACACAATAAAACTTTACAAAATTGAAAACTAAAAGAGAATCACGAAAATTGCCACGGGAAAGTAGATGAGTGAAAATCTTCCATTGACTAGCTACTAGAGCCGTCTATTCACATCTAATATATACGGTCTCCGACCAGAAATTTATATACACCAAGAATCTAAAAGTACCCTGTACTAGCTCTCCCCCATTCCTCAAAAGTGCTCATATCATCCAGATAGAATCAAGAGTACTGCTGACTCTCAATCTAGAAAGACAAAGTAACACCTGCAGTTCCAACAACAGCGGCCTTAACCTTGCTGCTGCCCAAAAGAGTGTATGTGTATCCCAACTTGCTGGCAGACAAAGTACCCTTCTCAGCTTCGTTGGATCCAGTGCCAAAGTCGTTGTCGTTGGCAACAGCGTAACCAGCATCGGTGGAGTACAAAGGCTTCTTGGATCCAGTCCAGGCGTTAGATTCGACAAGAACTTGAGCACCGAGACGGGTGTTGATTCCGTCGGCAACAGTGTCATGGTAAGAGTTGTAGATGTGAGCAGTACCGAAACGAATAGAAGGACCACGGGAGTTGACGTTCTTCCAGTAGTTGTTGGCATAGGTGACGCGGAGATGTCCCTTATCTTCGGCGGAGTTGGAGTCGGAGTGACCGACGAGGGATGCCTTCCAGTGGTCGTGGATGAAGGAGTTGGAGAGAGTGACGTAGTCAGAAGCGTGGGTTACGTCGAAGAGTCCATCATAGTAGTCTTTGTCGTGGTCTCTGTTGGAGGAGAGATCAACATGATCAACCCAGACGTTGGTGGATTTTTCTAGAGGAGAGGTCAGTCTACTGTATTGAAGTGGCTATATGGACAAGATGGGAGAACTTACGAATTCCGAGAGCGTCACCGTTGGCGGCAAGAACCTCCTTGATGGCGATGTTACGGATGATAACGTTGGATTGTTCCTTGACGAGTCTGATAAGATAAGATTAGATAATTGCAAGTTAGAATAGAGGGAAGGGAGCTCATACAATCCGAAACCAGTGAAAACGACCTTTGAGTTTTTACCGATGATGGTGGTGTCACTGGCAACCTTGACTTGGGAAGCAGCTTGGGTGATAGGACCGGAAACGACAACGACGGTGTTACCAGCAGTGGCAGCCTTGGTGAATTGAGCATAGGTGGAAACGGTGGTGGTGGTTCCTCCAGCTCCTCCCTTGGTACCACCGTTGGTACTGGCGTAACCAATCGTACAGGCGTCGGTAACAGTGGCGCGCTTGGCGATGGCAGCGCGGTTGACAATCTCGTCGGAGGTTGGGGTTGGAGCAGCAGTGGCGAATGCGGCCAAAAGACCAGCAGAAACAATTGAGAACTTCATGATGAAAGAGTGAAAATTGGAACTTGCCCGTTAAAAGAATGTAGTGTGTTTAGTGAATGTAATGAATGTGGAAGTGAATGATGGAAGTGATGATGTTAGATCGTGGGATTCATCTTCATCTTTATAGTAGAATGGTTGCTGCTGAGGTTATTTGTTTATATTGCCAAGTTCATCTGATTAATGGTCCCATGGAATTAACCCAACGCAAAGGAGGATCTAGAATTTCTCCTTAATTCTCACCCAACAGTTTTCGATAAACAATCCAAGCATTTTGGTGATGGAGGATCCACGGGTAAACGAAGAATTCATTGCATAGAAGAGTAGAATGATAGCCAAGACGACAAACAAGGTGGCTATGTGGAATAAACGCTTGAAAATAGAGTGGATGAAGACGGGAACACCAATGCAAATGGCGAATTTTGAGATTGTTCACTGCAACTGCAAAGGGCCAAGAGCATAGTCCCTGCATCTCACTCTCGAATTTTTGGGGATATTTCTGGGTATCGTGGACACTCGCACGAAAGCCAAGACGCCTATACTAGCACCCGTAACTTCGGTGTATGCAAATTCTTGGCGAGCAAACGGACGAACGAGATGATTGATTGAATCGGCACTCGCAGAGTTCAATGACTAGATTGTAACCTAAAGACGGATGCGCGCATGCTTTGCGGGACAAGAGACACTAAGCACTCTTTCAAGAAGTTTATATCTCCAATTGCTTTAACGTTCGAACGATACACTTTCGTCTGTATTTTCCGAAATCTACTGACTTCATCTGAGACCCAAAAGAAAAGATGGAGAAATGACGCTTTCAAGTACCAAGAAAAACCAAGCGTTGTAATTTCATCTCATATTCTCAGATAGATTGATTTTTTTAAGGTTTTGTTGTTTCCATTGCCCCTTTGTGCACGTGGATAGCCAATCGCGAATCGTCAATTCAGGGGTTTCTGGAAATTGAAACAAGCTTAACAAGAATCGGAAATTATAACGGAGTATAATCACTTCAAGCGCCGCCTTGGCCATAACCGCTTAGGAAATAACTCAATATGGATTGAAACCCCCACAACCTCCTTTCCATCAACCGCAAACGTCAAGATTTTAAAGCTGTACCTCAAGTCTAAACCTATTCTAGAAGCGCAGTCGTCTGTAGATGGAAGATGGAAGATGGAAGATGGAAAGTGGAAAGTGGAAGGTGGAAGGTGGATCATGTCATGTGGTGTTTACTAAACATGTACGGACAACGGAGCAGAACTTCCTCAGACTGGAAATTCGAGAATAATTCCTCTTGGCATTATTCGGAAATCTCTATTAAGCTCCCGTCTAAGGTACCGGCCCGACAAGGTTGGCGGTCTACTGCAAGTTACAGTGATCACCGATATATTAGCGGTTGATGTCGTATAGTGGTCATTTGCCCAAGACCTCGTGTTGAAAAGCTTCTTCTCGAATACTATCTATCCAACACCGTTGCTAAATCTCAAGTTTTTCCACCAGCCATTTATCCCATATCTCATAACCAGCTCTGTTCAAGTGAACGTGATCCTCATAATGGTTGTCAAGATCGACTTCCGGTGCTGCTAGCCACTCCACACCAGGCAATCCAGAGACTACATTTTGTAAATCCTCGTTACTTCTATCAACATCTGATGGGTGTACATCTTTCTTGTAAAACAATGCCGTAATCACTATTCGTGCTCGGGGGAATGTTCTTCTTAATGCCTCCAAGTGAAGAGCGAATTGGTAAAGTTGAGCTTCGGTCAAGCTTCGACCGGGTTTTTTCAAATCATTAGAACCGATATTGACAATAACTGTTCCCACTTTCCCTTGGGTCTTGGCTTTCCGGAGGAGACCTAGATCAATGCGGTAAAGTAGGTTGGGGATTGCATCGCCTCCTACCCCGGCGTTGAAAATTCCTGGCTTTGAACCTAAATTGAGGTCGTGGCCAGTTGTTTTGAACCGTTCGAGCATGCTGGATCCAATAAGTACGAGATTGATGGTTTCCAAGGACACATTGTCTAGCTCCGGGAAATGGACATCGAGAGTGGTCTCTTCTGACCGCTTCTTCCATTTACTATTGTCCCTTATTTGATTGTTCAACTCTATATCAGACATCTGCAAGAGTAATAACAGAGAATTGGTCTTGGGGAACTTCGTTGTGGCCGCAAGGGACGATGCTGCTGATGATAACATGGTTTAAAACTTCAAGGGCGAAAGGTTCTTTCCCAAAGTAACAACTAATTTTGTTGGTATATAAATTTGACGTGTCAATTCAGTGTGTTTGCAAAACTCTAATTCTTCTAGCGAACTAAATAGATTTAAATTATACGGAAAGCTGATACTCACATGCTGCGGCTCGTTGAGACGGAATTTGGAGAATGAGTCATCCGGGCTCGACGTCTTCAACACATCAGATCATGTACACTTTGCAGCTCAAACTAATTAGGATACCTGTTTTGTGTCAGAATGAGGCAGGAAAGTAGGGTACTCAAGGACTTAACTGGCCAAACCCAATGTGTGAAATTAATACTGAAGAAGTAATCATTGGTGAAAGGACTCCTCATGAGCTCCATGATGAGCTATTGAGGGTGAATGAAACTATGAAGCAAATGGTGAGTGGTGACCCGCTGTTGGGAAATGATGGCTTGTCGTCCTTCAACGCTTTAAACACAGTAGACACACAGGTACTTGTTCTTTTTCAATCATCTACGCAGAGGTTTCTGCTCATGCAAACAATGGACCGTAAAACGTCCTAAGGTGCATTTGCATACACTACTATCAATCATGCCCACCACTGAGGAACTTCTCAAAGTTGCCGAATCACCAAATCATCTGTCTCGAGTGAAAGCGCCTCCCCGATAGCAGCCATCATTTAGCAATAGGCTTACCTCCGCTTCAAGAAAACTTTTCGAGTAGTACAACACCACCCGAAGTTGAGTCGCACATCTATAGCATCGTAAGCTTGTGTCCTATCCGTGAATGAAACTCTGGGATTTGCGTTCATTAATATGGCTACAAAGTGTGAAATGTTTTCCCTTGGGCTTGCATCAATGAATTTTAGTTCATACTTTTCGGCCTTTCGCGTCATTCGCAATAAAAACAATTGATTCGACTGCTTACATCGACACCATTCAGTTTTCTCGACATTGATACCTGCATTGGCCAAGCTGTGCCAGCTTTGTATAGAGATGGCGTACCTCTAACTGATCTTTCCGGAACAGATACCATTCCAGAATTTGAAGCCGCCGGCCACCCGTTATTCCGAGATCAAGACCGCTTTCTGCCTGAACATCATGTCGTTGGGGATATATTGAACCTTATACCATCTCTAGCCAGCGTTGCTGGTACTTGGCCAGCTGTAAATATGAACATGTTCCTGCATCTCTTCAATCCTGTAGGTGCGGAGCAGGTCTGCACCAACATCTTGAATCTACTTCACTCAAAGGCAGGATCTCTCCTTACCGGTACTCAAACTGGAATCATGCGGCCGGGGAAACTCGTGCTTGAGCCTCCGGTGTGCGAGCCAGAAGAATTTAAGACGATATACTGGAATAGCGCGGAAAAATTGATTGAGATGTGGCAGAGAGTAGCTAAGAAGTTGAGTATCAACATAAAAACTACTGCGGAGTATGATGAGGATGAAGATCCTGAAAGCAGCGATTCAAGTAGCTAGTCATCAGGTAGCGTAGCAATAAGATCCTTAATCCTGAATCTAGTTTCTAAATTGAAGATGTTTGTACACAGTTCAATTGGACCATTGAAGTTATCTGAAGCGTCTCATTGAAAGTTCACGTCTCTGTGCAAATTAGAAGGGTTCAGTCCCAAGATCCCAAGATCCCAAAAGCCCTCAATTGCTTTAATTTAATCAATTATTTTCCGATTATATCATTAATCCATTTAAGGTTGTTTACTGAATTGAAAATTGAATTGAAGATATTCCCAAATATTTTAGGTGTAAGTTAATCGGATCGGAATAACACTAACTATCCTAACATCAGCATATTACTTATGACTAATCAGAAAAGGTTTAACTATAAAAAAGACACACCATGTGATACAAGATTACATAAGCATACATGAAATACAACTTTACTACATTTGCTTCTACAAATCTATCAAGGAGATGAACCTCCATCTTTCCTCCTTCACTTTGTTCCCATCGCATACACCATCGATCAGTTACCGTAATAAAAGCGCCATCTGTTTATCGCCGTTTGTCCATCGCCATTTCAATTCTCCCTTTATCTCTGTCGCGCACCATCTATCGAATACCATAACGAAAGCGCCATCTGCCAATCGCCATCTGTCCATCGCCATCTGTCCATCGCCGTTTGTCCATCGCCATTTCAATTCTCCCTTTATCTCTGTCGCACACCATCTATCGAATACCATAATAAAGCGCTATCTGTCGATGGAGCCGACAAAATTGCTTCTATAATATGTTGTGTACAAGAATTGTGTCTTATAGCACCCGTTGTTTAGAAAAACCCCGAAGCTGTTTGTATAGTAGTGGTGGTTACGTTCTTTAATACCTGTTGTTTAGAAAAACCCCAAAGCTATCTGTATAGTGATGGTGGTTACGTTCTTTAGCACTTGTTGTTTAGAAAAACCCTGAAGCTATCTGTATAGTAGTGGTGGTTACGTTCTTTAGCACTTGTTGTTTAGAAAAACCCTGAAGCTATCTGTATAGCGGTGGTGGTTACGTTCTTTAATACCTGTTGTTTAGAAAAACCCCAAAGCTATCTGTATAGTGGTGGTGGTTATGTTCTTTAGCACTTGTTGTTTAGAAAAACCCTGAAGCTATCTGTATAGTGGTGGTGGTTACGTTCTTTAGCACCTGTTGTTTAGAAAAACCCCAAAGCTATCTGTATAGCGGTGGTGGTTACGTTCTTTAGCACTTGTTATTTAGAAAAACCCTGAAGCTATCTGTATAGTGGTGGTGGCTACGTTCTTTAGCATATACTATTGTGAACAGCTTTAACAAAACTCACAGATTAGCTTCCATCGGTCAATCCTACGTCTCATTGTATTCCAAGAATCACGACTGGTTTAAATCCGGCATGGTTGCGAAAGTTAGTGGTTTTTCAATACAATTGTTGTTTTACTATATCTATTGCTGATTATAACCACGAAAGTAGGACACATTGGTTCCGATCAAGGGACTTCAGCTACAAGAACCACCTCTCCTTCGCGAGAGAGTGTTTGTAAAATGGAAGGATTCATCATCAGACGAAACTTTCACGTTAGGCTCTTGCTCGCATCAGAACAAGCAGAATCTTAATTTTCTTATGACAGCAAGCTCTGATTCAGACGGCCATATTCATATCTATTTTTCCCTCAAAATATCTATCAGGCAATCTTGTACGCGAAAACAAATGGAGATGCTGTTTGTTGTTCCTCCGGACGCCAACTTCACAGATTCCTTTACACCTTTTCTGGCATCAGGCATTGATGATTTATCTTTCCCCGACGCTTCTGCCCTTCACCAAGCTGGCATAAGCAAATCAGGACTTGTCATGCGTGTAGAATTCCATCTGACTACGAGCGGTTTTGTCGTTATGAATAAGCGGAAGAAGACTCCTGAGAGTATTACGCCCAAAGATGGTACCTCAAGCGATTTGATCAAAAGACTTAAATCTCTATCCGAAACGAAGATCTTCAGTGTATACATCAGCCCAAGTACTTATGCGCAGGTGAATTTGAAAAAATTTCACGCGGATTTAATTACCGCCAAACGCAAAACTAACGTGAAGGAAATGTACGTTCAACAAGGGGCTATGTTAGTGGAATGGAGTATATTTGGACCTCCAAATCGATATGAAACGTTGCCCCCACAGGATACATTACCGTTACAAGACACATTACCGCCGCCATACACCAAAAATCCTACACCATTATTAAAGGAAGTGCAGGTTCCTCAGTCGCCACCAGTCATGCTCAAAGATGGATTGCTATCAATTGATACCATCGAAGTGGTAATTGCAGAGACACCGACTCAAACTCCAGTGAGCCCAAATCCCACACCGGTAATGCATGGCATCTTCTCCTCTAGCGTTGAAGAGTTGTTTGACAGCGAACTGGACTTGAACGATTTTGAAGAGGACTCGAGATACATTACAACAGACTTCGACGTGTGCTCGGATGAAGAATCTCTCGCCAAATTGAATTCTCGAGAACTAAGTCAGCCATCTACATCCACATGCGATTTAGCAATTTTGAATGGGCTTCAGGCGAAGTTGATTGAGTGGTTGAAAGGGGCAATGACGCAAAACCCAAATGTATACAAGCACAAAAGTTTAGCTGGAAAGCTATCACTTCTTGGTTATTATATCCGTACATCTAATGCTGAAGGATTTAATGTTACTAGACTCTGGTGTTCTGCGATATTCTTCTACGACCCGCTTGATTCCATCGACACTCCCGAGACTCCCAAGTCATATCATCAGAGCAATAAACATCCCGTCTCACAGATGTTCGACCTGATTGAATGGGCTAATACGTTTCACTATGGCGCTGAGTTCAGTTCGCCGATGGTGAATGATTTTGTGAAGCTAGGTAGCGCTGCTCGCTCCTTTATCGCATCTCGGACGCAGCAGAACGAAGAAAATTTTGATAATCGGAAAAGTGTTTGCATGGCTCGTATATTGACTACATTTGGCACATCGGATATTGGTGAAAAGAAGCGCAAGGCTGTTTCTGAAAAAGAGCGTAATCTCTTGGAAACTCCTATAAATGAGGTATCTAAGCGAGCCAGAACATGATTTCAATCAAATTCATGTGTTCAATCCTCCCAAAATCGCCGATGTATCTCCAGAAATAAGTGACACTTTTTGGCACTCAAAAAAATATGCTAGTGAGAGAGTAACACAGTAATATCACGACTGACTGATCAATTTTAACCAATTGAATTAAAGATTCGGACCGCCACCTACAATACAATCTAATCTAATTAGTTGGTTCAGTCAACTATTCTTTCAATCCGTCACAACCCCGCCGCCCCCTCCCCCCCCGGTTAAAGTTGGTCACTACTAGTACCAACCATCGCAATTTCCATCGGAACAATAGTTGGGGTATTAGAAAATGTCTTCAATATATCCTAACAATCATTATCAAATTACGACGTGTGTGAGATGTCCCTGTCTTTTGCTATTGACTGGAGGCAATTCGTCTTATAGGAAGATATGTATAAAACTCGGGAGCTTTTACGATTACAAAATATCTCAATGGAACTCAAAAATACATGCGAGGTTAGCCCTAGCTGGGCTATAATAGAATGAGAGGATTATTTTATATAGAAGAAGAACTAAAAAAGAAAGAGCTAAGTGCAATAATTTTGGGAGGTTAGATGTTTCATAGACTCTTGCGACCAGAAACAGGTACAAAATAAACCTTGCTTCTATTGAGGATCACTATAGTTACATCTCTCAATCAAATTCATATTCTCTATATTATAGGATAACTTGTTAGGTTCTCGTCATCAGATAATGTGTTCCTAGTTTTTATATCCAATTAATACTGTGTATTTAAGAAATGAACCTGCTGACTCAACACGCTTATCTTCTTAAATGGAGCAACGCAAGCTGATACAGTGCAAACCGTTGGTCCCGCTGTTGAGATGCCTTCAGACTCATAATCTGATTTGCCGTGTTCCGGCTCTCCAAAGAGAACTTACTACAATGTAGCAATTTCTCTCCAACTCATCGGCTCTTGCAGCATTTCACCAGAACTCAACACTCATCACTGCAAAAAACTTCAAATTCCCAACTTTCTCCAAGATGTCCACTGCTCCTTCAGTTCCTCCGCTAGACGCAACTGCACTTACAGTTCGGGAATACATTTCTCACATACTTCATAATCATTACGATGTCCCAAAGCATGAGGCCGAGAGCCTGGCCACGCAATGGAAATATGGTCGCGGGTCAGAGCTCAGAACCTTTGACGTCGATGTATTTCGCTCGATATTTGGTGTTGAGGCAGGCACGTTGTTGTTTGCATATTTGAGGAACGAATTGGGTCCGTTGAAGGCTGGCTCAAACAAAAAGCTAGCAGGCGGAGGGGCGGCTCAGAGGGCTGAAAGGGATATTTTTGGGTTAACTCCTGGCTGTACGTTTACCGTCTTTTGGGTGCTACATATACTGAAATAGCTGACATAACTTGAAGTATCTATCGTCTATTTAACGTTGACCTTCAGTGTTGTCTTCGGCTTTACATTGTGGTATGAAATGGGTACAGCAAGTTCTGCGAAAATCGAGGCCCTGAGTTTATTTACTATGATTTCGTTCATTGGATTTTTGCTCTCTTACCTGGCGTATTATTTCGTTCGTATTGAAAGTTGATCGCTCTTTGTCTTTTGGAAGAAGTTCAGGATGCAATTTCAATTCAAAGTAAATGTTGGACAATCACCGTGTACATTTTTCTTTCTTTCTCATGTCTGAACGTCATGTTGCACAAGGGCTTAGGGTTAGATAAAAGTACTGTACCGCATTGAAATATCAATCCATTCCACAAACCGACTCAGTATGTATCCCTCCGTATGTCGGCTTATTATTTCCATTATCCCGCAACACGGATTCCGAACTTCGTGGGAAAACAAAACCATTTCCCCTTGTTGTTGAGGATCCTGATGCACCCTAACTCAGTCCGGTTATTCATGGTATCTGATACAACATTCCTCCTTTAAAACTGATAGTCGACAAGGAGGATTTTGTAGAAGCGAAGAAAGGTGATGGTAGCAGTAGTCAATTATTAGCAGGTGATTTCAACTATGGAGCTAATCGGAGGAAAACGATTTGGGGAGGCCCAAAGCCGGTGTTGGGACATGGTATACATAGTTATTTATTTCAAGTGGTGGGATTGAGTGAAGAGTTGGATGCAACTGAAAAGGTTGGGAGGAAAGAGCTTGGGGGCTTGCTGGAAGACAAAGTTTTGGGGAGAGTGGGTGGGGACTTATGGGAGGAAGTTGGAATGAGAAGTGATCGGAATTCTGGACATGACTTCATGATAACTGGAGACAGATGGATAATAATCGAGAGAGAGGATTTGTTTGGCTCAGATCATCTAATTGTTTAACAGATTGTTTGCTCAAACTGCAAAGACACGGCTCCCCTTCATGAGGATGGATTTATAGCTCCTGTCCACCTAGATTTTAAGCATGAGTTCTATGCACGCAGAAAGACCAAAGAAAAGGTCCGCCAACTTGTCGAAACATGAAAGAATTAAATTGTAATGATTGATGCCAGAAAACTCATGATCTAAGGTATCTTCTAATTAAAATGATTAATCTAAAAATTCTAGGTGACTTGAAAAACAAAGTATACTCGGTCGCTTAATTATCTAGCTGCATAGAATATAGACCACGGAGATGAACTCTCCTGAACGCTCGGCATCAAAATCTTGGCCCTGCCTGTTCCGCAACCGGATCTTTTTCTCTAAGTATAACATCTGCGCTGTTGACCGATTCACCATATGGCCAATCGGTGATTTCGGCGGCAGTTTTTGAGGAAGAGGAGGCACCAAACATTTTAGAGAATAATTTAGATATGGCACTCTGAGCTGGTGGTAAAATATTATCACAGATGTTCTCTGCTAGACCAAGAGGGAGAAAAATTCGAGGTTCTCCAGATATTATGGTGATATTCGTCGATCGTTTGACTCTGAAAGATTCTCCTGTGAGGATGTCGACTATTATGGTCCCGTTTTTGAACATGGTAGGTATGGAGATATTTTTGGATCTGGCCTGGCTACCTAAGTTGGTCAGCACCATGAGCACGGGGCCCTTCTGCGTAGCAGCAACATTGTCTTCAATGTAAAGTTTTGTGGTTAGATGTGTACCAAATCCTGCATCCCAACCCAGCTTTCTGATTTGGTTCAAACGTGCGATGTATTGGTATAGCGGTGTGATGTTATAATTGGACGTCCACATCAGCTCTCGCGAGCCAGGATCACCATCTCCAGAATAAGATTGTTCTTGTCCATAGTAAACAATTGGCACACCATCGGTAAGTAAAGTCCATGCCATAGCATTCTTTACAACAGCCAAGTCCGCGTTGGTGTCGCTGGTAAATCGTGGCATATCATGATTCTCCATAAAAGTCGACATTTGCTGCGTGTCGCGGAATTTCGATCGGTATTCAGGAGTGAGGAGGTTGGTCAGCTCATACATACTTCCACCATCCCTATGAAAGGCTCTCTTCAGAGGATAATATGTCCCATAGTCTAGAAGGCCTCCAACATAAGGTTGATATGAGCTTAAGTAGTCGGGATCACCTGACAACACCTCACCTACGGACCAGACCCCAGCAGCCCGAACAAAATCGGGCCAGAAATTCTTCCTGACATGTTTGACAGTGTCAAGTCTCAAACCATCAATTTTAAACTTTTGTACAAGTTTTGTGATCCAGGCTTGGAGGGTGAGTACCACGGTAGGATCCTCCGTATTTAGATCGGGCAATGGCACATGTCCATCCCCCAACCATCCTTCCTCGCTTTGCTGCTGATTTTCGTAATTTGTGATGAATGACTGTGGATGATAGTATGATGAATCATTAAAAGGTACGTATCTGGAATACTCCACTGTGGGAGGCGAACCCATATGATTGACAACTATATCAACCATCAAAAACATACCCGAGCGTGCAAGGCATCCGATAGGGCGAGTAAATCATCAGCGGTTCCAAAATGTGGATTTACTGAATAGATATCCTCTGGCCAATAACCATGATAGGAAACTCCATATTCAGTCAATTCTTCGATGTTCTTAGTGATCTGTATGGAATCGTTAGTAAATGCAATTAGAACACTGATGAGGCTAAAAAACAAACGGGTGAAATCCAAACTGCATCAAAACCCATTCCTTGGATATAATCAAGTTTAGATATTATTCCCCTCCATGTTCCACCACAATATTCTCTTATCCCATGATCTGGGCCTCTATCTGAATTATTCTCATCTTCTATGGCAAATCTGTCGGTGAGCACTTGATATATGGAACGTCTTTTCCAGGCCTCGGCATTGGACATGGTGTAACAATTGATGGTGGAGAAAAAAGCGAGAGAAATAATTAAAAGGGAAATATTGATATTCATTTACTAAGGCAGCCTCTGGGTTACATGACTTTTATATGTTTTGAGAAAGGAGAGGAAATACGAGATATATAGATGATCGAATACATTTGTAATTTTATTTCTTTTTTAAGTTCGTATAGAAGGGGATAACCTTGCCAACCAAATATAGAATAAGACATCACGTGAACATGGTCTCCCCTATCTTGAACCTCACTGGACATCATTATTCTTAATCGAGACCATGGATGACTCTCGGAACCCTGCGCTTGGTATGTAATTGAGGAACCTCGTAATGCTTAAATACGAGTATTTTATCTTATTTACCACCCTTCAGAGAGCTGAGAGGAATGATCTTACTCCTCAATTGCACCCTTCTCCAACGGAGATCTCACCTTGTTGTGCCTGGTACTAGTGTACAGTCATTATCAGGTATCGCTGTATTCCAGCATCCAAACACCACAAGTCAATGACAACTCCCCAAAAAGCCCTCCATCCGTTACGCCGGTACCCATTCTACTATAAAGATGATTATGAGGTATCGCACTACAATGTAGTGTCCTCAACAAAGCTATCTTCATTGCCAAGTGATTTTTTCTCTCGGGTTTCTAAGAATATCAGTCAGTAACTGAAGATACATGTATGTTCTCATCAGTGATGTGAAACATACCTAAGTTCGAAGCAGCCTCATCTACCACTTTGATTCTGTCCCATTCTCTTTTGCAATCATCGAAGATTCTGGTGCATGATTGTTTGCAAAAAATGCTGTAACCACTGTAGACACTCGCAGCACACAATATCTGCCAGCTTAGTTGAAAATTCCGATAAAGCATGACAAAGGTTGTCGATTCAATGACTTTTTCAATGGCTTCTATCGAAGAATGTGATTTGAAGCAAGGCTTCGTCGGGCTCATATGTTTGAAGGCATGATTGGCGCCGTAGCAAGCTACCGTTGCGGATGTCGCACCAGAGCCACCAGCCCTGCGAAGGGAATCATTCTCTTTAAAGCTACACGTGCCGGCATAATTATTAATTATTTAATTGTCTGAAGCGAATTGAGAGACTTGATAATAGGTTTCGGTAATAGGTTTCAATAATAGGAATACAAAGGTTGTGTGAAGAAAGGTATGAGAAGGAAGTCTGAAAGAATTTTTTCCATATATATATACATATGAATTTCTTTTGGTTTTAGGTTGTCAGTCTTAAACTAGCTTAAACTAAGCAATACTCTATTATATAAAAGATAAAGAGATCCCTTAGAATTCTCTTTCCTCTTTCCTCTTTTCTCTTTAGCTTTCTTATTCTAGTTATTTGACCTCTATCAGTATGCTCTAGTGGGTGATCGTAGCATATGGCTTGTCTTGGTTCAAACTTTAACTCATGAACTAGGTATTTCACATGCTCTCATTTCTATATACACCCTTTTTGTCATGGAACGCACTCAATCGCGATGCGATTCCATGTACATATTCGCACGTATGTAAACAATCAAGTATAAACAGCTAATATAAATGAACACTCTATGAACGATTGGATCATAGTCTCTTAGTTTTAGATTCTAAGGACATTTTGTACCCTGCGCTCGCAGTTCTTCTAAGGCAAAGTGTCACACTTTTCAATGTTTTAGAGCATGCGAGAAAATCATCGCGTTAAGGCTTCTGTAAAAGAATCTGTATGTGACGTAGGATTTAAAGATTAGGCTAAACCTAGGTCCTTCCGAAGTATGCCGATTCGGTCCCTTGTGGCCCCCGCCCTTCCCTCCTCTTCACCCCCCTCCCTTCAAGACCCTATAATTGTCCCTAATCATTTTATACAATCACTCTCATACCATCATATAAATATAAAATCTTACCATATAACTATAAAACTATATAACACAACCTTAGGAGGCTCGATAGTCAACGAATCAAGATTTAAGGAAGAACTGGAGCTTAAGGAATTCAAGTTTTGTAAGGATTATCTTAGACGCTAGCGATAAAATCAATGTGCTGAGGTTCTGATGGAAAAGTTTGGGTATGGTATAAGAGTGATGTTTTCCATATTAGCTAGGTATAACTCATACTCACTAGTACGGTAGCTCCAAGTTAAGACATACTTCGAAAGGGTTAGGCCTACCAGCGAGCAAAGGAAATGCGAGTTTTAGGTTATTGCATTTTGGATTTGGTGTCTAAATGATCATCTAACTACGAACGGTTTTGTTCTCAACCACTCATTTTTTTTATATCATACCAAGCCCACAACACCACAAGCCGTGAAAAGCTTTACCACAAGATCAGTGTCAGCATAACACTAATACCAGTTGCACTCAACTCTGCAAAGTGTCGTTAGTGTAATACACTTCAAGTTTTGAAACCCCCCAAGACAATTTCGGATGAGAAATAGTACTTGAGTAGTACACGTGGAATTCAAATGAAAGCCTTTTAATTAAGGGTGATTCTGTCGCAATAACTTTGAGATTGACAGAAACTGTGCCGCATGTCATGTCGAAGCTCTGAAACACAACGAGTATTATTTCAGGAATTGCTCGAAAGTCGGTGCTAGAATCGTTTGAAGATCGAAGTGTGGTGTCGAGAGTCGAAGACCTCACTGCTAATTGCTCTGAAAAGGGGTTAAATGCTTGAGAATCAATGGATTACACCATTCAAGCTGCTGTTGTCATGTGCAGGTATTGCGTTCTTGCGAGTATCATTCCAGCCGAGGGTGCCCTGGTGTGCAGCTGGGGGGGTTTCCTCATAGCTATTCCGTTGCATTATTCAAGTCTAGCATACACTAGCTTTTGGATATCGACTTTCAGGTTTTGCGGCTGGCGTCTCAAGGTCAACTTTCTGAATTTCGTGTCCTCGTATGCTCGCCGAATTTGGTATTATTTTCGTGGTATGGTATGCGAAGGTACCTGAGAATCTACACGTTGGGGGTAGTATTGCGAGCTTTGCAACGTTGTCTATCTGTCGTATCTGGCGATGGCTTGTGTGGTGTAGTGTGGTGAGGGTGCTTGGACAAAATATCCACATCGAGTAATTCCATCTGTGAGTCCAGCGATGGCCGACTGCTGTTTACCATAGAATTTTCCCCTTTCTCTCCCATTTTCTCAATCCCAATAATTTATAAGACACCCGTCACCGTTATTATAAAGGCCATGTCATATTTTCGTCGTCTTGATCATCCCAGCTATTCCAACCGTCTCTTTGAAGCACCATTTTTAGACCTTCGCAGCTCCTTCAGGATCTCTTTCCCTCATACATCAGTGCTCCTCCAAGGTTCAAACCAAGTCCTACCACCTCACATTCCGGTGTCCATTGTCCAGTTTTTGGGAAAAGACGCCATACTTCTTGCCACAGATATCATAAAAGTCACTCCCACCCTTCTCGCTACAAGACAACATAAACCAAACTTTGACCCTTTCTCCTACTGTTTTTCTCTCGTCGCTTTTCCAAACATCATGAATTGAACTCTTATCCTTTTCGGCACAAGCGCCAAAATTGAACGCCTATCCCAAAAACTTGAGATTGTAAGCTGAATTGCCATCGTTCTCTCACCCTTCTTCCAAAAAGACAGATTTCACAAACAACGGAAATGCCGATCATGACGTGTTGAGGTTGTCCTCCTGCATATGAGCCTCGTTCCTCCTCCTGAGAACCCCGGAGATCTACTTATCCTTCCCTCAATCTTTCATCACAACAAGCATTGCGAAACATCCGATTTCCCTTATTGTACATAGATCACATGGACCACCAACACCACCAACACCACAGATAACAAACCAAATTCCTATCATCCTTGCACAAACACTCCAGATAGAACTGCTATCTTCCTTATGTGCAAAACAATAAAAATGCCACAGACTGTGGATAAAGCTTCAATCTCCCTTCCACAGACACCATTAATATGATGATTTCAATGAATGGCAATTTTGATACAAGGACGTTAATTGAGTGCGTAGCCTATCCGCTTAAAATCTTCCATTTCGAGATATACTTGTCCAGGACAGGAAAGAGAGGTGCTGTTGGTGCTAGTGGCGAAGCAGCAGAAGGGGCGTGAGAAGGATCGTGGACAAGGAGAGAGTCGGAGCAATTGGCGCTAGCGCTAGTGGCGTGCCAGAGAAAAATTCAATGTGAGAGTTGGGATTTTGATTGAGATAGAGAGATATGATATCCAATGCCAGACAGACAGACCTAAGAAAATTAGGGGTTCCATCGAAAGCGAGGAAAGAAAGGATTTTCAAGCCCAAACAGATTTGATATTGGGATTGAATATTGATCAAGGGAAAGAGAAAGAAAGGATATCTAACGCCAGGTAGATTTCATAAAGGACTGCGCTTGTAAGGAAAGAAAACGAAAAGAGCAATGTTCAACGCCGGTCAGACTTAATATATGAATTGGCCATTTGACAAGAGTAGAGATACAGAGAGATGCAGACTAGAGTTGATATGAGAATCGCGGGTTTCAAGAGAAAGAGGATGTTTTGATGTTAGATAAACTTGATAGAAAAATTAGTATTGTTACTGAAAGAAGAGAGAAAGAGAGGGAGGAGCTCTGTACCAGATTTGACTTGAGATTGAGGGGGTATCGAGTGAGAGAGGATATTTCAATATCAATCAGACTTGAAATGAGAATTAGAGGTTGAGAGAGAGGGAAAGAGGGAGAGAGAATATTTCAATGCTAGTATTGTAATTGAGAGAGAAAGAGAATGGAGATCGAGAGAAGGGTCGAGAGAAGGGTCGAGAGAAGGGTCGAGAGAAGGGTCGAGAGAGAGATCCAGACCAGACTTGATACAAGAATTGGGATTTTCGAGAATAAGGATTCCAGCAGCTTTCTTTTTCGATATTGGAGGCCTTGATACGTTGACAGGTGCTTCTCCCTTCGGTGAATACAGTATCCCAAAGTATTGTAGATCGCCATAGACTGTGAATGTTACGAAGTATCTTAATATCTCATACAACCAACGACATTCTAGTCGTTGTATTGTTCCGGAATGTTTAAAGCTCACAAAGAACCGGAATGCCCTGGTCCACATTTTTGTTTTCAATCGGAATCATCACTGAGAAACGAAAATGAACCAGTGTACCTTATTGTCAATTTCCATGGATTTCATTATCTCCATTTTCAGTATTAAAACCAAGATCCTACCTACTCCGCTTCGCCAATAACACTCAGCAGCCTAGTCTATCTCCGGCTCATTTTATCCTCTCCTTCCAAATGGCACTCTTGGGAAATCTAATGGCAACTTCAACTTCGCTGTCCTCCTCTGTGCTGCAGTCGCCTTGTCCAAATCCAATGCCTTCCTCCTCGCCTCCGGAAGTCCCACAACCCTCGCACCAATTTCCTTGAAATATTGAGTCATCTCCTTCGTCTCCAATTTCAAATCCAGCTGAAGATCATACAAATCAACTTCATAATTATCAACCAGACATGCTAACGCACATGCGTGGGTGATAAGGAGATCAGACTTGAATTTCGACATGACTCCAGCGTCCGAGTATTTGCGTCGTACATCTTCAATGACGGATTGCGGTATATTGTCACCCAGCTTCGTTTTCATTTCGTCGCGCTTGGGCAGCATTCTTCCACCTCGCATTGGTCGTGAAGCCATGTGTAAATCTAACAAAAGAAGGAGGTATCGTAAGACTCTGAGCTTATTAACGCCTGCGGTAGCTGCAGAGACGATTCTGGCCGACACATATCTCGAGTTGGTCGTAATGTTCTTCTTTGCTTTGACTGATTGTTCCCATTCCAAGACCGGTACAGACTTGAAAATATCACTTCCAATGAGGCTGTCCACCGTATACACATCCTTGATATCTTTCGCGGTAAGATCTGCTTTTGGTCGTGGTTTGGCTGCATCTGCTTGTTCTTCGAGGTCTTTTCTAGATGCCATACCAGATGTAGCTTCTGCCATGGATGCAATGATGGCAGATTTTGCAGCATCCAACTTCGCTGGCTTGGCACCATCCGCGAGTAATCTTGAGCCTCTGTTCGCGGAGATGGCATTCTCGGTAACGGAGGCAATGGCTTTCTTCGCTTTCTTAGTACCGAAAGTCTCTCCAAGGTCATTGCGAAGCTCTCGGATGGTCTGCGAGTAGTGTTAGCATCGGCTCTGAGATTCTTTTGCAATAGACTTACATGTTTGGCAAATTCAGCCTCCGTAGCTTGATGTGCTCTAACGCTCCCACGAACCACCATCTTTCGCGCTTCCATAACCTCTAGTTTTCCGGTCTTTGGATCGTACACACCAACATAATGCTTCAATAATGTATCAGACCCACCCGCTTCTTCCTCTCGCGCAGTGTAGTCAAGCTTTGGATGTTCTGAGGAATGGAGGAGGACTTCGGTTGTAGCAATTGCTCCGCTTCGTCCTGGTCGTTGAGGGGCATTCTTGCGAGGTTTGGTGAATGGTTGAAGAGATATAGATGCCGGCATAGCGAGTCCAGGAGTGGATGCTATAAAGAGTCAACCTTACATAACCTCGAAAACTCATTTTGACACTTTAATATTCTCCTGGTCGTAACTTAAGAACATACCAATTACAGGTGCCCATTCATCACCATCCTTTAAAGAAATCTGAACATTTCTGTCTTCTTCGATTGCCACTTTTTTGCTGGGTCTCGAAGAACCATCGGCGTTCTTCTTGCGCTTCTTACTTTTCTCAATGTTATCCGCCATTTCGTGATTAGAGTGAGGCCTAGGCAAATTGTATGAAGGCGCCGGGTCTACAAGCTTCTGTTCTGTCGCAAAGCAAATAAATTTTTGGATGGGTCGGCGACTGGAAACTTTTTTCCCGACATTTTACCAAAACAGACGAGGCTGAGATGCTGGTGGCTTGACCAATGAGCGGGGTTATGTTGAGCTGGTCATATGCAGCTTTCGAGCTTAGCCAATTTATGAGGCGCGCAATGATTTTTGGTCGATTGTCAATTTATCTATATACCTATTTACCTCGTGTGTGACGTATGCTGTCATCGAAAGAGGTAGCTGAAAGTAGATTCCAAGACAATTTGAGAAGTCCGACTGTTTAAGAGGGCATTTTACATTCTATAGCATCGAGAGCGAAGCCGGGGAAGATAGGTTTGGTGATTGTTGACACTCCATTTCGTTTGTGTGTATCTGGGGAAGGGTTTGATATTACATGCGGGGAAGCTTGAAGCACATCACAACAACCGCTTCGAAACACGGCAGCGAGCATTTCGAAAGGAGGAGCATCACATATATCACAATCACTTTTAAGACTTTTCACATTGTGCAAAGATGACATCAGTGAAGAAGAACTTCTTTTTTTCTTATTCATTCCTATCGGGTTGGTAGTCATAAAGGCATTTAGCATCAGAGGCAGCTTCTTTCCCATGACGTATTGGTTCATAAACCCTCAATGAACAAATCGACATTGCATTGTTGACCGATCCTGCTTCCTCCAAAACTTTCCACCACATGCTGACAAGTACGCGTCATCAAACTCATCTTTCCTTGAACACTCAGCCGCCGTTGAACGAAGCGCGAACTCCGAACTTGTTGGTGAATACTGAAATGCTGAAAAAGGCGAAGACGTTTGGTGCGAGCAATGGCGCATTCGAAAAGAGTTTATGTTGTCATGATGTTATGATTCGAGAGGTAAGGGGTATCGAGATCGAGTTGTTTTGAGTTGTTTACTTGCTGTAGAGGGGTCAGTAAGTGTTTAACAAAGAAAATTATCCCCACGACAAAGACCGCTGACAAGCAAATCTTTGATCTGAAGCAACAGGAAGGTCAAAACTTACGATCGGGCACGAGTCTTGCGGCGCTTACGCTTCAAGCGCCTAGTGCGCTTCTTTCTCCACTTGGCTCTCCTACAGATGGTTGTCAGTTATAGATACTTGAAATTGTTGATGTGGAAGTGATGGAATTGGAGACAAGAGGGGTAAAGATCCATTCTCGAGGAAACGAGGGGAAATTTGATGATTGCAATGATTCAAATGCTTTCAATAAGCATGGAATGCACTGTGAATAGCGATTGAGGGTAATATGGATGGATTTCAACTTACATTTTCAATGTGAGTTGTATGAAGATGGTGAGGAGGAGAAGTTAATTCCGTTGATTGAAGCTCGAAATATGGGTGTTGATACTCGCTTAATTTTTGAGCTAATTTAGCGCATTTTGACTGATTAGGGCTAGTCACATGACTGCCCACCTGTTTCTCAGATACCCAAGATAGATTCCTTTAGCTGGTCGGGCCCGACCTGAGGAAAAGTACTCGGTAGGTACCCAGTATGCAGGGTTCCAACATGTTCCTGTGCTTTCCAGATATGACGCTCCGTAGGGCTTGCCAGGTATTCCATTCAAAGGTTCACATCCATCCAAACGACAATATCAATGTTTGATGTCAATATAAGATGTCAATATAAACACCCAAGTCTCTTAATCTCTGACATCATTACATGCAATCAAAACCTCTACATCTCTATCATTATTACAAATACCCAAAGTCACCCAATCTCCAATATCAACACAAAGATTCAGAATTCTTTCAATGCATAATACCAATATACACATGCAAAGTGCTCTCAACATCTGGGACCAAGACAAATATTCAAAGAATCATATTCCGCAAGTCACAATCCGATACTTTCAATTTCTCATATATTATCAAACAAACAAAAGTTCCATGAGCACCATCTCCTTCTGTATGAGATGTTTAGCTCTGCGGTGAGTCTACCGCATGCAAAATGTAGCATCTTCATGTGGGTATCATTGTTTGCAAACGATGCTCCAATGCGGGGGCTTGTATGATGTTTAGTGTGTCACAACAAGATGTTATGAACATTCAGAGTCTCATAGGTAAAATGGTGAAGACATTAGCATACGACGATAGGTCTGATAGCCCGTCAGAGAAGCCCGAGTATATAAATGCTCAAAAATTATGGCGCTCAACCTACTATGCGTCTAAATCTTGCAAGGGGCTTATTCGGGAATTGCAGAATCAAACTTCTCAATGAGTAACACATATTCAGACCAACAGAAGTCTCGTTGACTTGATAACACCAGGCATTTTGTCGTGGGAGAGAATCGTCAGTAAGGCCGCCTAGTTGTCGTAAGCTTGGTACCAATTGTAATGGAAAGCAAACTTAATATACGCGTTTTTGTCATCCCAAATTTTCATTCAAACTTCAACCAGACTCCCCAAAATGTATACGGTCTGAAATTATACGAGGACTTACAGCCTCCCAAGCATAGAAGGGAGTTCGTTGACGAAGGACGTCGGTTTGTCACGTGACAGTGAAACTAGGAATTGCATGTGGCTGCCTCCCTTCGTTCCTTCCCAAGGAAGACGAGAGAAGTGAAAAAGAAGCAAGGTGATGCGATACATCAAGAAAACCTTCAAGTTACATAATCAAGACGTCCTACGATGAAGCATTATTCAACTCATAAGTCACAACCTCATCTTTTAATACTTCCTTCCGCCTGTACTACTGTTTACTTGCGGTCATTTTGTGATGTGTATCAAACTGAACAATTCACATTCGAAGCCTTCTTCTTCATTTCCTACGAGTCTTTTGATATCTGTCACCTCCCAAGGTGATGTAAATTGCGCATTATTTGAGTATTCTTTCTCTATGCTTATTTGACTTGACCGACATCATCCAACTTCATGTCTTTTTGAAACATACATTACCGCTTCATTTTCTCTCTTTCTCTCTTTCTCACATTCTCACATTCTCATATTCTCAGATTTTCCACAATTTGTCTCAAATTCCACCATCCGAGATCTCAAAATCACAATGGAAGCACCGGAATCGAATTGTGAGCTCAGTGGTCAAACCCACCGTGAGAACGTTGACCAATCCCCAATGGGAACTCATGAAGGGAATATTCATGACATCGGTAACAGCATTGTCGCGTCGCTCAAGTATGAGCATGCACAGACCGGTCAAAAATTCAGTTCGTAAGCCTCTTATCTCATCAACCTTTCGTGATCTAATATAGATTCTGCAGCAATTCCTATTCTTGCCAAAGGCTATCTTCACGTGGGAAGAGAGACGAAATGGTATGGTACTTTGTTTAATTGATCTGTAACCTGCTAATAGTGTAGTGATTTTTCCATTGACAGTGTGATTGTTTCCAAGCAACACTTTCGTATCTACACCATTATATATGATACGGACGAGCTGGATAAATACCCACCTTCAATCTACTGCGAAGACCTTGAGTCCAGGAATGGTACTTATGTGAACAATGTATTGATTGGTATCGTCGGCAATGAAAGAATTGGACGTCTTCTTGTTGACGGTGATTTGATTGAGATCCGACCCGATTGGAAGTTTCGATTTCACCAACGAAGATCAAGAAAAACATCGCGTGAGCCTTTGCCTGATATCGAAATGAAGGTATTCAAGTCATCATTTTCTCTTGGTATGTCTTTCATGTTGACTAATATATTCGTAGTATTTTAAAGATAGATACACCATTTCCAGCCATGTTCTTGGTAGCGGTATTGCTGGAGAAGTCTTTCTTGCCAATAATGTTGGCAGCTCGAAGCAGTTAGCATGTAAAGTAATCAAAATAAGCCCCGCAAGACGTGCGAACCCCAGCTCCCATGGTTCTACAGGATCAGGTCAGCAATATGATACCGATTTGGCGAGGAAATCACATCTACGAGAAGTTGACATACTGTCTAAACTTAATCATGTAAGTTGCGACAGGCTCAATCATTCATCCGTCTATGTATTCAGATGGCCGAGACTAATAACTCATAGCCAAATATTATCCGCATTGAGAGGGCCTTCCTTTCCAACGACAGGCTTTACATCTTTACAGAGCTTGCTGCGGCAGGAGACCTATACACATACTTCGATTCTTGTGGTAACAGGCTTGAAGACGCCCATGCTCGCCTCATTACGCGACAAATAGCTCTGGCTCTGGAATATCTCCACTCGAAAGGGATCGCACATAGAGATATTAAAATGGAAAACATTCTCATTACAAATACTGATATCGGCTCTCGAGTTATCCTCACAGATTTTGGTCTTGCCAATTATACGGACAAAACAACCGGCAGACTCTTCTCTTCGGTAGGGACAGATGGTTACATTGCACCGTTAGTATATCTCTAAAATGGCGGTTAACAAATAATTGTACTGATTGTTGATAGCGAAATCATGGGTTCTAATATAAGCCGTGGCTATACGACAGCTGCAGACATGTGGTCGTTTGGAATATTGACATGGAATCTGCTCACTGGCGAAATCTGGATTTCCCGAGGCCGATCATCCCAGCTGGAAAAAATTCAAGCTGCGGAAAAGTTTCTTTCGTCCAATGAAAAAGAGGTAGCAAGCAAGTGGTCTTATATTCATCGGAGAGCTCGATCATTCCTGCGCGGTCTTCTGGCTAGTGATGCAAGTCAGCGTATGACTGCTGTGCAAACAGTAAACCATCCATGGTACAAGAAACCTCCCGTTTCCGACGCGATAGAGCAGGCATATCAGCGAGTTACAAGGTTCTGGAAACCACGAGATGACGACGATATTCTCGAATACCTGCCTGGATATACCGTACCTACAACAGAGGTTACAAGCTCAGGTCGTCGAAAGCGCTTGCCTGATGCTTCTTCGTCGCCCTACTTCAATCTTGACCGTCATCTACAATCAAGATCTCCACAAACGGCGAAACGCAGACGTATGCTTGATGATCTTAAAGAAACTGGAGGAACCTTCGTGGATTCAGAGTCACAACAGAATGAACCTAAAGATAGTCGCAAGAGCAAGAATCATATTCCAGTGAAATCGGTTACTGGGATTGATTTGTTCGGAAACTCCACAGTTTCAACGAACAGACAAACGAGAAACAGTAATAAGCCCAGTTATGAGAGGCCATCTTCTAAAGATAATTTGAGTGGATTGAGAGCAAGCCAAAAAGTGATAAAAGATTCGCAAAGTCATCTTTCATCCTCTAAGAGAGCTGGTGACGCTCATTTAACCGCCTCGAATGACGTAAGAGTCAGAAAAGAAACAAACCCGGTCAATCAAGAAATCCACGATACTGCCTCACAGCGTGTATCGAAGTTTTGTTCGGCCAAGGCTTTCAAGGATGAGATCAATATTGTCAGAAAAGAGAGATTTATGGAAGCTTGATAGTCATTTACTCTTGGGTGGGTGTTAGATAGCTCGGGGGAGTTTCGAGGCGTTCAGCCTGACTACATGACAGACGCAGCTCGGAAGAGAAAGAAGGGAAAGAAGGGAAATGCTACTATGAGCACTTTGCATGCTTTCCTCTACAAATAATACCCCGGTAGTTAGCTAGACGTTTTGCCTTTAATTTATTGATGCACTGTGTATATGTTGTTGGCGGGTTTGCGTTAAAGTCAGGATGATCAACGATTGGGCACTGGTGTTAACAAATCGAGACACTGTATTGCTATTAATCTTCCACGAAAGATTTAGAAATGAAGAATCTACAACAATTAATTTACAATATCGTCGACTTCGGCAAGTTTAGGCGAACGCTGTAGAGTACCGACTGCCGATCTACCGGTGAGGTTGAAAAATAAGTACCGAGAGGCTAAGACGTCATAGATTGAAGTTGTGGAAACAGTACCTTGGTACGGTGGAAGGAAACTAAATTATCAACTATAAAAGAACAATCTTTGCTTGCACAAATGTTGGGGATCCCACTTTCAAGTTGAATTCTTGCTCGCTACATCAGTAGTTAATACGAACTTCTAAGATGAGTGGCCACGGAAACGCATCGACACCACCGATCGTATCTTTACTATCTGGTGGAATTGCTGGAGGGGTAGAAGGCGCTCTTACATACCCAATGGAGTTTGCCAAAACACGAGTTCAACTGCATTCTGGCCCATCTAAATTACCACGGAATCCATTTCAGGTTGTTGTACAAGTATACAAACAAGAAAGTATAAGAGCTTTGTATAAAGGGTGTGGTGCATTAGTATTTGGATCTATTGCAAAAGATGCTGTACGATTTACTTCGTATGACAGCATCAAAAACGTCTTTCGTGATCCGGAGACTGGTGTTTTATCTCCGGGCCGTAATATGTTAGCAGGCATGGCAGCGGGAGTTGCAGCCAGCATATTTGCAGTTACACCTACTGAACGAATCAAAACGGCGCTCATCGATGATGCCAGGACCACGAGGCAATATAATTCCACAATGCATTGTATACGTACCATTCTCAAAGAAGATGGATTTGTAGGTTTGTATAGAGGTTTCATTGGCACAACTCTCAAACAAGCTTCTGCAACCTCTTTTAGAATGGGTTCGTACAACATTATCAAGGATTTTCAGGTCGTACGAGATATTCCACAGAATACTGTCCTGAACTTCGCGAATGGGGCAGCGGCAGGCGTAATCACTACTTTGGCAACACAACCATTTGATACTGTCAAAACGAGAAGTCAATCTTCGAAAGTGACTACAACCACTCAAGCTGTAATGGGTATCATCAAAGATGGTGGTGTGAAAGCTTTTTGGAGAGGAACAGTCATGAGATTATCACGGACTGTGTTTAGTGGTGGTGTTTTGTTCACAACCGCGGAAGCTATGACAAAGATTTTGAATCCTATATTTGCACCACGGCGTGCTTATGAGTCTCTCTCTTGATTAGTTCTCTTAGTGTGGATGTCTGATATTGGAGTGGATATCAACGGCACAAAATTCTGTTCAACCTCACACGAAAATACCTGTCATGATACATAGATCCCGTCATCCACTCGTGCTACCATCATGTAGTTTGCACTCGTTATCCAAGTGCAGACATACGAAATCGTACCCCTGTTACAGCTGGAAGAATGTGACGCGTCAAGAGTCATTGATTTCAGCTATGCCAGCGAATAAGGGTCTTTTCTTCCGGGTATAAGGTCAAAGAGATATTAGAGTCCTTGGCTTCAATCTCAAGCAATTATCGATACAGAACTCATCTGATAACGAGGCCGTAAAGCCTACTATGCTCGACCTAGTCACCACCATATTTCTCGGCGTCTTCATTATACTTGGAAATGAACTTTGTCAGCAAATTTACCAGCTCAATTTAAACCCGTTTCGTCTCCACGATACCGAGCATTCAGAAGCGATCATTACTAGCGACTCAGATTGACACGGATTTGGTATCTGAAATCCGAATGAAGAGTATTCTGGCACGACTCGACTGCATTTTATGTTTTAGAATTGGTTGTGATATTGGCTGCTTTGGCTTTGCTGGCTGCTTTCAAAGATTGCATCAAGAGAATGATGATTCTTTTCGAAAGCGACCAGGTACTTGCTCCAGTCATTACCTGCATGGCGTTAACAGACTTCTTATAGACAGAAACATAGACGGAGACGAAAGTATGGTTTAGATATGAGGGTGTTAGGTTTGGGAAAGTAGATGTTGAGCGATGAGTGTTTACAGCAAGGTGTTTAGCCAAGACGGATCTTTTGATCGGATTGCTTTGCGTTGGAATATGGTCGATAGGGAGGTAATTGGGTTTCTTATGGGGTGAAGCGTATGGCGATAGATTTATAGGGGAATATAGATTATGCGGACAATGATATACTCACATCATCTCATTCCTCGTTTTTGATTGTGATCCTGTCAAATTGAAACACCCAGAGTTGGGTATCTATCTATAACCGAGATTCATGAAGGGGTGTGGTATATGTGCACGAAACAGTTGATCCCATCGAGGAGGAGTCTAAAAATGGATTAGTGAATACAGAATGAGGGGTAAAAATTAAATAATAGTCGAATACCAAAGGAAAGAGGGGTATATCTAACAGTGAATTGAGGAGGGGTAAATGAATAACTTGGTAAATGAAGGAGGAGTATAAAGTGAGAACTAATGAACATAGAAAGAGGGGTATACAAATACCAAATAGTGAATCCAGAGGAGCATACATACGAAAAAATTAGTGAATTAAAAATGAAAGCGATAAAAGAAGAACCAGATAGATAGTGCATCAAGAATTATCAAAGGTAGCTAAGTACCAACCTTATATACCCATGTCACTCCTCTCCAGTCTCCACACACCCATCTATAACCTATAAACGACTCCAAAGACCCACAACACTCCAGCTACCTACCTAGTGTACAAACAAACATCACACAACACTACAATTCGCAATTTTTGGCCTGGTCACTGGATCGGGCCTCGGCCCCTTCTGGCACGACTCCTTTGGAAAGCTTGGTTCTATATTTATACCCAAGTACCTATCTAGGTAATTACTGTGCCACGATCTAGATTTCGGCCCGTCCAGCCAGCCCAACTGGCCGGCCGGCCTTTGGAAAACTCGGATAGGTCGGTGGGTAGACGTAGATGGGTCTGATTGGTTGGAGGAATAGCTTGGAATTGTGGAATTGGAATGGAATGGAGGAGGAATTCTATGCTGTGAATGGTGGATGAAGTGTAGTTCGATGTGTTGTTGGATGGGTTTACTTTTTATTTTTGATTCAGGTTGGAATTATTATTGCTCATTAGGAGAACCAGGAGTTAGGAAACAAGTAACAGATGGGAAATAGAAGATGCAAGGGGGGGAAGGGGAGGGGAAATCATGACGAGAAGTTTCTATTCTAACATCGTCCGTATACATTAAGCTGATAATATTTCATGTTCACTATCGGTATCTGCACTCATTCTGTATACTCACAATCGCTGGGGCACCTATCGTGAAACATACCCAGACGCCCAGCAGCTAATAGACTGGGAAAGAAGAACTAACACTCTGTTCTCATCATAATTCGTTGTGTGAAATCAGTTAGGCCATTAATGCTCCTATCTTCATAAAGTAGCAAAAGCAGCCTAAACTCTCTTAAAGAACAAGATCAATTGCACTAAAGACTAAAGGCATTGCGAACACCGAATACAGACCAGTCCTCAGAGCTCGTCATCCATACCTAGGCGATAATCACTTCATCGTAAGCTAACAGTTGAGATATACTATACAGCAAGTGGAGATTATTGCTAAGTATAGAAAGCGACCGCCGGAGCTAATGAAGCAATGTACTACCGATGGTCCCAGTTGCGGGTCGACCATAAGGTCTCTATAGTCCATGAAGCTTCCGTCGACCTCCTCGTAAACGGTAGTCAGACCGATCGCAAAGTCCAGATCCACCGAACTCAACAGAAGTGAGATAAAAATAACTGCAGTTTTTTTTTGGCTTGAATTGAGTGGATCGCGATCGAGGGGAGGTCAGTGTTGCTGTTGTTGGCGAAGTGGATATGTTTGTACTCAAGAAGTGTATATAACGTAAAGATTCTCGAGTCTTAATGCATATCTCATCATCATCAACAACAACATCAACATCTTCACAGATCTCTATCATCACCACAGTTCAATACACTCCATCTCATCTCAACGCATCCCATCCCACACATCTCAATCCCCAACAATGCCCGGAAAGAAGACCAACAGCAGCTCTTACAGCTCTTCCAGAGAAGCACCCAAAGGAAGCTACACTCTCAATGTTGAAGACTACGACGCAAAAGATGAGGCCACCCGCAAGAGCAACAACAAAAAGGCACCAACCCTCTCCAAATCCAAATCAAGTGTTCCCTTCGAAAGTAAACCCCCAAAGAAATCTGACGGAAAACGTTAGTAGGGCTCTCCAAACCCATATAGAGTCCACTCCGGCGAATATCCCCGAGATTAGGGTACAGAGTAAGAAATGCTTCAACCGGAAATGAGTCAAAAATCAAGTTTACAAAACTTGCTTATCACCCAGGCGGTGATCTGGTTCGCAGCTCAACATCTTGAGATCCTGAATCATACAACGAGTTTGCTTATGGAGGGTGTTTGGCGTTTCGTGCAATTAAAAATTAGCATGTACCCTGGAGGTGCAAAAACGGGGCTGGAAAATGTGTTAGCAAGCGGATTCATATCAACAGACGTGTTCCAAGACAAAGATAGATAGAATGTTCATAGATATCCAATTAATTTCCACATACAAATATACTGCGATCCTTGAATTTTCCTCTCCCTTTTAGTCGTGCTAACTTAGCTCAATATCTTGCTTCATCCACATTAGATCCTAAACCCAGCTTCCAACCTTTCGTTCTCATCCCCCAACAATTAACAACAATCGTCTTTTCGCGGAAATTTTTCGACAATAGTTGTAACCATGATCCTCACCGGACCTGGCACGACATATCCAACATCCCAGGCGCTAATTTCTGCCCTGGCCTACGCGACGTGGTTGAGGAATAGCTGGCGCGGCTAATATATAGCCAATTCAAGTCCAACACTAATAAGTGCCACACAAACTTTACCCGCTTTTCACAATCAAAACAACGGGACGAGCGGCTAAATTTGAAATCAATGAAGGGTACAATGATAAGCACGATGAATTATTAGAGTGGATCATTCGTTTTATGAGCTCTTGCGGCCATAAAGCCGAGAAAGACTACTTTTGTAAATAAAAGGGAATAGGTTATGTAGAAAATAGTGTCAATATATCTATCCATACAATTCAACACTTATTGCAAGTCCAATTGAACATCGGGTCAATATTTCAATAATGTTAATTTACGTCCGCATTATCTATATCCCACCCAGGCTTCTATCCGATATGTATAACCAGACCTCCTATCGTCCAAAGTCTAAAAACCACACTACTCACATCTCCCACTCATCTAATAATTAATTAAAGAACATAACCACCACTGCTAGCCACATCCCAATTTCTCAATCCTCTACCTTCCTCCAACTCTACACACCACCAAAGTACCTCTCTCGCTTTGTCCTTCTGTCCTCCTAGTTCATATGCTCTGGCTAATGAATACCAAGCTTCTGAATAGTTCCAACCTGAACCTAATTTCGTTAGACCGGATAAAAGTCCATATGCACGATCCCGAGCTGCAAGTCTATCGAGTTTATCGGCTTGGTTCGTTTTCGATGCAGCGATAATATCTCGGTGAGGAGGAGCAGGAAGAGGAAGACCAAGGGGTCCGCTCGCGGGGAAGGGAAGCGCTGGCTGATGTGATTGGGATTGCGCTGAGGTATTGAGGGTAGATGCCGAAGGAGTACTGGTGGATACCGTGGGAAGAACTAAAGCTGGCATGGTGGGAAGAGGTAGAAGATCTTCTGTGTATACATCTAGTAGGATATCGGAAAGCCCAACGATTGCAGCAGGGTGGTCAGCAAAATGAGTTAAAGCAGTCTCGAAATTTTCAAGTGCCGTATATGGAGAAGATTGATCTACAGAGAGATAGCCACGCTTTAAAAAAACATTAGTAAGATTCTATGCATTCCTCGAGCATACGTACCTCTGAGAAAACATCGCCCCATAATTCACCTACACTCTTTCCGCCTCCCCAACCAGAATGATCGAATGACGCGAGGCCTGTTGGATCATTGATAATATCTATTTCTAGGCTGTGCACCAATTTATGCGCCTCTTCGATTGCACCTTTGGCGTCTTCATACATGGTTGCTCGCCGATAAAAGCCGGCAATTAATAGCCATACTTTGACGAGTGTTGATATTCTCCGCCGCCTCTCGGAATCTTTCGAGAATCGCGTTGTGGGGCTGAGTGATGATGAGTGTGGAGTAATTGGGAGGCGACTATCTTGAACAGTGTGATGAGAGCCCACTGGTTTGAGAACCGGTTCCTTGTGTTCCATTTGCTGTGAGGTTGGAGGTAGTGGTTTTGCGCTTTGTTCCGAATGATCCTCTCGATTCTGTAGATCCATCTCCCTCGCAGTGCCATCGGTTACTCCTACACTCGTGCTTCTGTTTGGCTCTTGAGAAGGATTTCTGACACTTGACTTTTTGTGCAGCTTTTCATGATGATCTCCAGAGCGTCTGCGGTGATGTCTTCCAGCTGTACTGTTCTCATGGGTGACTTGAATAGTTGGTGCTCTATTGATCGTGGCATGTGTCGTGTCTGGTCTTTGAGAGATTGTGCTCTGTTCCATCGAAGCTACCATATCCTTTCGCATTGATCTATTCAGAGTTCGTCCAAATATGCTTCCTTTCATACTTCTAAGGGTTCCTGCAGAACTTTTGGGGGGCACCAACGTAGCGTTTTGAACTACTGTAGTGGCAGTTTCTTTAGAAGGATCACCGAACAGTCTCGTATATAGAGTCAAAAGTTCATCACTACAGTTAACTGCAACCTCGGAACCCTCAAGGACTTCTATCAGAGACAATTGAGTCATTTTTACCTCCAAAAGATTTGCTTTTTCAAAATCATCCATTTCATCTACTAAGCCTCGATTCTGCTGCGTAATGTTTTCATTGGAATTCAGGTGCTCGCTTCTGAATGAACCATCAAGTTCAGATGCTCCATATAAATTTTTTGAATCCCCGAATTGGTCGAAGACGCCTTCACAAGATCTTACTGCTGTCATAAAATCTTGTCTTGCACTCAGCAGTAAAGCCATAAGATGCCATAACGGTATCAGAGATCTTTCTCTTGAGAATCTGGCTACGACGTAAGAGCCATGACCATTTTGCAGATTGGAGCGCAGAGGAGCAAGCCCAACTTTCACAACCTCAATCGCTGTCGATAACTCTCTGCGTTCTGCAAGGATTGTGCCCAATGCAAAGAGGGTTTCTACATCTGCAGTGCTCTTATACTCGGGGAGAAGAGCACGACGAAAGCATTTCATAGCCTTCACTTGAATGGCCCCTCTCGATGCCGAATCGAAAGTTAAGCGTGCCCATTGTGCATAGCCGATTCCGATTGATCGCCAAACAATGGCAAATGTATTTGGTGATATAGGAGTGCTCGAAACAAGTGAGGTGCCATTATCAAGCGGTTTTGCGATTCCATGTGGCTGTTCGACGGGATGGTGTTTGATTAGCCACTCCTCGAAAAAGAGGCCAAGGTCTTTAGCCTTCTCTGCCCCTTGTCTTGAGCCATATCGACATAAAGCTCTGATACACTCGGCAGCCGTTTTCAAAACTGTTTCGTCGTCGTCTAGACCGTGTTCCAACTCCCCAGTTTTCTCCACTCGAGCTTTTCCTCTCTTCACAATCTCCAAATAAGTGTCGAATGCTTTAAACGCTAAATCAAACTCCGCGACCGCTACATGAACGGTGAATAAATGTCGCAAAATCGGCGTTGAATGGAACGTTTTAGTTGCGGCATTGTACAGAATGTTCAAAACACTTCTACTAATTGCCTCGGCTCCTCCTTCGCCAAGTTCATGTTCTTGCCATGTATTCCCACATAAAACTCTCCAGTTTTGCATCACTAGTTCAACAAACGCTTCGACTTCCTCACTCGGTTCTTCCGCCTTCGGAAACTGCACTTCACTCAGAAGCAATTCCTCGTAGCGAGCTTCCACTTGTTTCAGTTCCGCTCGTTGCTGTGGTTTTGATGACGACTCAGGATATGCGGTAGTAAGATCTGATGTGGGAAATGGCAGGTGTTGCTGGAGTATGTCCGATAATGTGATGTAGTATTCTTTCCATACCTGTCGCCTTGAGGTTTCAGCATGCAGTGCGCGACCTAGTGGCTTCGTTGGGGCCCATTCCCAAAACCTTGCCCATGCACGAAATGCTGATAATGTTTCGGTCTCGAGTGTTGGGGAAAGTTTCGTTTTGATAGCATGACTTGAAAGCATGCAAGATCCTGCCAATAATTCTTCAATCCAAGTGTTCAATTCCTTTCGGCCAGCCGGTGGCGGTGTGGATGATACGCTTGCCAATATTGGCAGAGCGGAATCAAAGGTTTCCAATGCTTCTGCCAGATGTCCAGTCCTCCGTTGTGAGTCTCCTTTAATAAACGACGCCTTGAGTGCACACACTTTCGTCCAATCGTTCGATTCTTTGTTCGTCCCATCAAGCTGAGAAAATTCCGCTTCTATACTGTCAGGTAAACTCGAAGCTGCCAGGGCATGTTCCCCAATATGCCAATGTATCCAGCCAACACAAACTTGCGCCTGGAAGTCGTCTTCAACATGTTGTCGTTCGTTTGATATAGCTTCTAAGAGTGGCGGTATATATCTGGACAGATCTGAGGAGGTAGAACCAGCTGTCGATGGCCGCGTGGCAGAGGTCAATGTTTTAAGACAATGTAGTGTAACTGCATGTTCAGTCTCTGCGGTCAACGTGAGGCCTATTGAAACCGGTTAATGTCGAAGATCAGTGCAAGAAGTCTAAGAATAGAATATCTATTCGAGTAGTAGCATGTGAACATACATATCCGCGAAGGCGCATGTTTCCTAACTTTCCTAACAAGTTCTGGCACAGTATCCCAATTACCTTCGCAGCGAGCCGTGTCCAGGAGCTGAATATAATGGGCCGCTTTGGTTTGTTCACGCTAAAGTATGTAAGCAAATGTATCAAGTGCTGTATCCTATCAACAAATCTCGACTTACACTCATGGTCGCATGTAATTTTGGTTACTGGGTATGCAGTAGGTATATGTATATGAAGAAAGAAACTGAGATGGCTAACACGTTGAACCGAATGACAGCATGCTCAAGGAGGTCACAAGAAGAGCAGCCAAGCACAAATGAGATTGTGGAATTGGGAGAAATTAGAATTTATTGTGAAATTAAGTGAGCTAGGAGAATGGTAAACTGATTGAATGGTTCAATACTTCGTCAGCTTAATTACCAATAGATTGGGTCTTCAATTTCCTGCGTATTTGGGTCTTGAATAAATCCACGGATACGAACCATTTTCTGAGCTTTGGTCTTCACTCCCCGTCTTGATCCCAGGGGGATTTTCCAGAAATCCAGTTCTCGAATTTCTTGGCACTCGGAGTCGGAATAATATAACTCCGCGTGCAAGGCTGCGTAGTG